CTGTTGAAATAGATTTATCATTTCTTTGTCTCTTACTAATCTTCATCATGCTTTTATCCTATGAATGTTCGCCTATATGCCTTCGCATTCACGAACCGAGTGATTTCATGCCTTTGAAGATATTTGGTGATGAAAAAGGATTGTCTGAAGTGTACCGGTGAGAAAAACAGTATAGAAACCGCTACATTGAGGAATACAGAAGAATCTTCGTCGCAGGAAAAGCTTACGGTAAGGTTTTGTTTTCTAGAGAATTGAAATGCTTCTGTCTTAATGTTTGATTTTCTTTATAATTCCTCATCATATCAATCCATTCAAAGCTAAAGTTTCTTGCTGCCAGTTTGTATCACTCGTTTTGTGGATGGCTTGTGCCTTCTTTTTGTTTCTTGTTCTTATAAAGTGTATTCTTAGGTTATTTTTCTATGAGACTATGTTTTCTACCATTCTTAAAGGCATCAATAACAGCAATGGTATTAGTAATAGTGGTAACATTATTTTTATTGAAATAGTATTATTAACAGCGGTCAATGATTGGTGCTCATTATTACTATTATTATTGTTGTTATCATTATTATTATTATTGTTATCATTATTATTATTATTGTTATTACTATTATTGCTATTATTATTATTAATTACTATTGTTATTTATTATTATTGTTGTTATTAATTATTTATTATTATTGTTATTATTATTATTAGTAATTAACCATAATTATGATCACAGTAACAGTAGTAAGAATGACGACAGTAGTAGTAGCTGAGCACAGAATACTATAATCCCTTTAATTCAACTAGTTCGAGCGAGCACCAACAAATACCGCGAGCCAGAGCTCCTCAGTAGGCTGCATTTACTCAAAGGACACGCTGACCACCTTCTTTCTGGTACTGTACTTTCCGTTGTTTTTGGTGGGACGCTATCCACGAGCGATTCGACAGGCTGTACCGAGATTCATGTTAACTCGCAGTTATGTTTCTGTGTGGAAGTGTTGAGGTACTCGGCATGGGTAACGTTGTTCATGGATGAGCACTTCTTCTTGTACATCAGAGTGTGACACCTGGGAAACACCGCTCGGCCACGATGAGGCGGTGAATAGTTTGGGAAAGAACGTTAGTAAGTGATAGTGTTAATGATGAGAATAAGTAATGTTTGGTAATAAATACCACTAATAAATATTTTGTTGCTCCAAAATTAGAGCATATGTAATTCTGCTTTCCTTGCAAATGTTTTAGCGTTTTTTTCTGCACGCTGTACGATAATATATCCGCGCCAGCCTTATTTTATGAATTTTCATTCAATGTGGATAAATTATGGTAAAGGTTATGTCCTTGGTAAATTTGAACGCTGTAGTTTCAGATGTGAAAACAGTAATTTTTACAAACCTAGTAATATTACGGATTCAAACTCGGAAGTATTGCAGCGAAGCGGCTCGAAGCATTGTTGAGTTACGAATTCAATGAAGTGTTAACGAATGCACAGTGCTGCGTTTGTTTCAAAAATCTCATCGTGGCAACTTCGACGTTGAAGATGAGAAGTCGCGTACTTATTGACAACCATGAATTGAAGGCTTTGGCTAAAGGAAATAGATCCACAACTGCTCATGAAATTGTAGAAGAACTATATTGAAACACCTAAACTGTGTAGGGATATCTAAAGACAATTGTATGAATTGAATGAAAATAAAAAAGAATCGTCGTTATAAGTACCTTGGCGCTTCTTCGCCGCAACCAGGACGATCGGTTTTTCAGTTGTATTGTCCATTGATTGTGACCTGCGACGAGAAATAGATCCTCTGTGAAAAACTCCGATCGTGTCGTCCATTGGAACGCGATGGCACTCCGTTGCACTTTTGATGACCGAAATTACCGTAAGAGAAGGTCACGCTGAACATTTAATGGTCTGCCGCTGGTTTGGTCAATCACGGTCTCTTGAATCTGAGTGGAACCATTAGGGGTACTATAAGGAAACTAAGAGTATGTCTGTGAAATCAATAAGATGCGCGAACAATTCTAATCTTTGCGGCCAACCTTCTTCGACAGAAAATAACCAAATTTTCTCCAGGATAACGCTCATCTGCTAGTTGCACTGTCTAAGTTACAAAGGTTGAACGAGTTGGAGTTGGAAACTCTGCCTCGAGTGCCACACTCACTGGACTGGTTGCATATTGAATGCCACTTGTTTAAGCGTCTCAGTAACTTCCTGTATGAGGAATGCTACAGAAAGCAAGCCGAAATCGAAACATCCTTCAGAACGATTTCATCGATTCCAGAACTCCCTAGGTTTTATGCAACCTAGATGCATGAACGGATTTCTGTTTGCAAAAATGTTCAGGTTCTAATGGTTCTTACTCCGATTAATAAAATTTATTTCGACCTGAGATATGGCGCTGTAAAACTGCAGGTTGAAATGGTGCTTTAATTTCCTTGCAATTTGGTAGTGGTAAGGATAACTTTGATGGTAGCGATGTTGCTAATAAAAATGAAAATGTGATAATAATAACAGTGGTACTTGTAGCATTAGTGATAATGTTAGTGGGAATAGTAATAATAATAGAAACGGCAGTGCTAAGCCGAATTGTGTAGTGCCGGACGGGGACAGAGATCATAATGGCTCTTTTCCTGCCAAGAATACCACTTGTTTATGGATAGCGCATTCTTCTAGCAGCCTTCACTGGTTATGCGTACATTAATCGCAGCTACTTCGTTGCTTTATGATCTATTTCTAATAGCCTTAAGTAGTTAATGTCGACTCGTACAATTTTCGAAGTCGATTATGTGACCGCTGGAGAATATCACACCTCGTTGCCTAAGAATGCTTCGATTCCAATTTTTGAAACTCCTATGGAATAAGTTTTAATTAGTCGTTCCATGTGGCTACTATTCTTTCTAATTATTTCTTAGTACGTATACTTGTGAGATAGGAAGTATTGGAAAGGTAATCGTACTTTACGATGCAACGAGATATCCGTCCACAAAGCTCCGCCTATTCTCGCTTTTACTGCTCTGTAGCGATTTCTCTGTCAACCAGTACTTACCAGTCACACATTTTTCATCATCGTGCAACTCTTATGTTTTCACATGATATTTATTTAGTGCTTGAACGCACTTGGTAAGCCACTGCCACCTTTACAACCCCCTTCACCTCCACTTAGGCGGAAATTTTTCTGTCCTGTCTTGAAAAAATTGACGACTGCGTTTTCAGAAGTCTGTGGTTACCAATAAATTGGTAGCATCTGCTGAGTCGGAGGCCAGGGTGAAAGAAAGAATTGAAAAAGAGGAACAACTACGCCTAATGGAGAGCCCGGAAGAGGTTAGAACTATGGTGGTGGTCAGGTGTCCACGCGCCAATTACCTGTTAGAAATAACACTGATTTTACAATATTCATTTATACCATTGCAGTTAGATTCGGACTTATACGATCGGGTAAGCTACTTGAATCTGATGAATCAACTCAAAGAGCGTGATAATACCAAAAAAGACAATCAGCGACGAGCTCGAGATGAGTGAGTTTCTTGGTATTCCTATTTAACACCACGACAATATTAGATGGCTATTTACGGCCAGCAAGCAAACATTTTTCTGTGACGATTAATCCAATGGGCCCTGTTCTGGCTAAGAAATGATCCCCACACCGTTCTTTATTTATAATGTTAGACTCTCATATATGGTGTTGTTTCCTTTCCTTAGAAGTATCCACTAAGATATCGTTCAAGCGCATGAAAAGCTCTGGTGACACCCTCTTCGAAGTATGTAAATGCAGTCGAATCACTTTGTTGTTGGTATCTGAGCAAATGGAAGTACTTCCGGTATTTAGCACTTGCTTTTGTCGACATTTTTGTTTACTGGGACCTTTCTGAACTTCCGCCCTCTGTTCTTATGTAGTGATTAAGGTTTCTTATGTCCACTTCGAATGGTGTTCGTGTACCCATGCCCATGTTAGAGAAGTGTTAACGTATAAGTTCCCCCAATGTCAAAGTAACACTAGTTGTTTTCACCTTTCATTTCGTTTTTTATTGGTGTTCATGGGTGATAACGGTTGAAGTTGTTTCCATGGCCTAAGACGTGTTTAGTGGTGTTTTCGCTGGCATACTCAGCTGACTATTCGGCCGAACAATTTCTCATTTCTTATGCTCGGTGCGTTTGGCGTTGAGAAAAAAATACCCCGCGTTTTGAGATCAGTGAATGCTTTCATAACATCCATGCTTTTACCTCAAGAAATGTTAATATCATTGTTTGGAGTATTAAGCTGTTTACGAACTTCAAATTTTCATAATTGTCGACAGTTCTGGTATTTGTCCATCATTGCGCAGTACTCCATTCTGATGATAAATTTATAGTTCCAGTGTGTTAACTGTGTTGTCGATGCTTGTTTCTCTGGTACTTTGATGCGAACCATTTCATGTCGATGCCATAATAATGTGTTTCGAAGCGGTAAAGTGGCCTTCCGCTGGTGGACAATAGCTGGCACGCCGTGCTATTGGGGACAAAATCGCTTAGTCACGCGTTACCAACGTCTTCGTCCTTCTAAACGCACCCGCCCCTTCATATGAACGACAAGTCATTCTGGACGGTGTTCATCTATTTCTGTAGCTTGGTCATGATGTTCAGTGCCTCAGGTGGCTTTGTTAAGACTCGTCGTCACTGCATTCTCTTTCTGGGTTGATTTCTAGATAAAAATTTTCTTTACTTTAATACTGTGCATAGTGTAGAATATGGATGATTATCTCATACTCCCCGGTCCGAACGACGTCCCACTCATCGATTCGGATCCCGATTTTTCTACAGCTGAGGATGAAGACCTCGAATGGGCCGAGTGGTTTCGCGATCCTCACCGTCGTGCTGACTCTGCTTGTTCTATACGAAGGTATTACAGATTCCACTGGCATCTCATGGCATGAGATGCATCGATATATACGAAATTTCAGTGGTTTTTAGTTGTTTTTATCATGAACAGGGTAAACAGCCGCCTGATCTTTCCTCATAGAAGACGTTCTAGTAAAATTTGTTTATAAATTTTTTTTTAGCTTTTCACCTCACCTACCTCTATATCTACGACACGATTTATACCTGCTTACTGCCAAGTCATTAGTTAACTGATGTACTTTCGAACTCAGTGTTTTACCATACCATGGTTGATGCCTTTGCATCGTCGCATTATGGATCCCTTCCGAAATTCTTGTTAAACTCCGGATTTTTTTGAGGAGTTTGTACTTTTTCGCCTCGCTGACGGCCATCATCAATAGTATCCCCACCGAAGTTCTCTGCTTCCTCTCCGTACTGTGCGCTAATCTTGGCGCGCCGTTTTTATCCAGCAGTGCTCTACCAGGTGTGTTCGGGAGTAAACAAAGTACAACAATGGCAAATATCCGTGGTGTTCTTAAGGGAGTCCAGATGATAATTTTAACAATTTTCTGTTGCAAGGTCTCCGACTAGCACCATTGATAGTAGGTATCTTTGTTCGTTCAGCTCGGACGCTCCGTCACCTCGACCGCTGGATCAAGGTGGAATGATGCCACCTGCACAACCTGATCCGCACATCAAGTATCTTTGGAATGAAAGTGTGGATATAAGCGAAATGGCTGGCATAGAGCAAAATGACATGCTCCAACTTCGTATGATGCTTGGTATTGAGGTATGTCCTAGCTGTTTATTTTGTGGGCCGTTTGCAGTGATGTTTATATGTTTTTCCCACAAAAGATTTCATATATATTACGTTTAGCGAATTTCCACCGAAACACTATCTCGCTATAATGTCCGAGGTCACATGGACGGTTACGATCAGCCAGCTGTACTCTATCCAAGGTAATCGGTTTAGATGACAGCCTGTAGAGAGCCATAATACCGTAACGTGCTTAGAAATAGATTTTATATCCAGATATCGTGGTCTGGCTTCGCGGATTCGTATTCCAGCTGGACTGAAGGTCATTCGCAAAGTGGGAGATCGTATGGAAAAAGAGAATTATCCATTGCCTGATGAAACGCTGTGAGTTTTGCTTCGTATCATGATTTATCTACTGGCGATGTGCTTAACAGCAACTCAAGTTTCACACTTCTTCAAAACCTCTATGAAATCAACTAAAAGTGTACCAATCATATATTCGCTTATGTCATAGTGTTCCTTTTAGCGATGTCCACACTCAGGCGATGAGCGTCATCTCTATTTTGTTCTCGTTATATGTGCTGACTCGAAGAACTTTTAGAACAGAACACTTTACTATCTTTCGTAATATTTTATTGGCTTCTACGCTGTGAAAGCTGATCACAGTACCGAAAATTACGGAATCATGGCTCATACATTTTCATAGTTGGAGAATTAGGGCCGCGGCCAATTTGAGCTACCTTAGGTGACTTGATGTGCAGTGGGTGGAACACACCTTTTCGTTGAGTTAGACACGACGGCTGCTCAGGAAGGAATGGCGACTTCTGCTGACCATATTGTAATTCACTCAGAAATCAATGTGTTTACTCAACTTTTTTAGTGATTTGTTGGTTTTTGATTATTTTATGCTTTAGAAAGTGACTAAGGTGTTTTAGAAGAATCGAAGTCCGTTAGAGCATGTTATCGGATTTCTAGGGTTTGAAAGTCATCAGGTTTTTGGATGAGGATTCGTGAACTATGTGGGGCGAACGCTGTTGAACAGTAGGAGGATCGTGTGATAAATCACTACCTACTGCCTTCCTTTTAATTCGTGCACATTTCTTATAGTTGTTAATGATAGTATTGATTTTATGTTGCATTTCCACCGCTTCAAAGAAATTTTCCTTTCTGTAACCTACCAAACACTGACCATTATTGTTTGACGTCCATCTTCTATTTTTTAAGAATTTTAAAGGGCTCTTAAACTGATAGCACGGCGCCGGAATTTTTTTTATCGTAAGCTGTTACTTTTCATCATACATTGAAGGGGAGCTTTGAATTCAATTTTTTTTAAGTCAGATTATCTTCTCCATGTGTGCACCAGTGGAGTTATGTGGCACTTGTTAGACGCATAACCTCCGGAGTGGACACTATAGTGTTCATTCCGAAGGTTATGGGTTCCAGGTTTTTTTTTTACCACGCTATGTATGTTCATTCTATAGATAGTCGAGAGCAGGTCAAAAGAATGAGAATGGTACCAGGAAAACCATGCTTTATACTCAATGAATTACAAAAAACCTTTTATCGAAAAAGTTCCTTGACCTGTAGTTTAACCAAGAAATAACTTTTGTTTCATTTTAATCGCTATCTTCATCGTATGGAATTTCTGGATATAAAAAACACTAAAGCAGACTCAATATAGGGTTCGAAATACTTGCAAGCGCTGACACCAATGTGTTTCCATAATGGACTAGAGTAAGTAGTAACATGCATATTGCGCACACTAATAGAACGATAGAACAACGTCTCTTTTACAATTGTATCATGTTCATTGTTTCTGAAGTACTCCACTTATTGAAAAATTATTGCTGAAAGACCAGAAAGTCCGCAACCAACGAAAAATTGCTCGTTTTCCATTTGGGGGGCCACCCTAAATGGCGCGCATCTGTTATGGGTTGAGTTTCCTCAATATTCTTACGTTGCTGTTCCTACAAAAAATAATTTTCTACGAACTTTACAACGCATTTTAATCGGCGTGAAAGCGTTGCTTACTCCATTCCTTGTCTTTAATTTATTCGTCCTCTTCGACTCGAAACAGCTGAAGCTGCACCGTTGGAAACAGCAGTTCCTACACAGCATTTACATGGGATCAACAAAGATAGTTAATAGTTTTCAAAGAATTGCTAAAGGATAGAAGAGTTTAAGTAATTGACAGTGTCATTGTAAGGATGGAATAGAAAATATCGATCTTGGCTGCATGTTTTTTACATATCCCCTCACTATTTCGGCACCTAATCGTCGTCTTTTGGATGACCAACTACAGTTTGAAACATGTACTTCTTTCCCTCAGCACTGTGGCTCAAGGCGAGAATGATTTCGACGTTTTCATATGGTCACCCAACCATTTTCAAACCAATGCCAAGAATCGCGGCTATTTATGGAAGAAACGCAATCACAACAAAGCACACCTTCCAATCAACAAAGGAGATAGCTGCTTATGGTGAAAGGTTCAGCACTAGAGCCGTTCTATATGAACTCACGGAAAAAGTTCCACCCATGAGCAACATATTAAGTGAGAATTATGCTTTGCTCTAACGTTTGTTCGTGTCTGTGGTCTATTCTGCAACACTGCTATTCAAACAGCCCTCCAACCAACAACGGACTCTATAGCACATTCTAAGTTGAACCATCAGCCGAGTGGCGCGGAACATAGATTCGCTTCTGTCACACATTTTTGATGCAAGTTATTCAAGTGTAGTATGATATTATTCTTTGATCTTTCCTTCACAATCCACCCATTGTAATTTTATTTGCCGCAGGTCAATATTACAGGTGTAGTTTTCGCTTCGTAACATTCGCAGCTTTGCAGTGGCTGCACCTTGAAAATTATATAATATCGTTATTTATACATTCCATAGATCGTCATGGCCGTTATTTAGATTTCAAGCTGTTTAACCGCGAAGTTATCTAGCGCACCCGTGCAAAGTGAAAATAGAGTTAGTCTTGTGGAAGAAATACGCCATATACCTTCACTAAAATGGACGTTTGCACATTTATGCAGAGAATCAGTTCATTGTCAGTTAATACAAATATGAATACAGTCCATGCTGCAAGTTCTGGTGATGTTGATAGTGCCTCTATGATGTAACAGGAAATTGTAGGGTCTCTATGGTTCCTTCTCTCCAAAAGCAGAAACTACATAAATTTTAATTCGAAAACTCGCAGGAAAGTGCATAGGAGGTGGTGGTTTGTGTTCACCCTGCAACAAATAACTCTCCATCCACTATATGTCGACAAGGCGCTCGTGAGCATATCCAATAGAAAACAGTGGACTGATTACATTTGAATGCCTTTTCGCCAAAAACAACGATCGTAAAAGATCGCATTCGAAAAGTGTGGAAATTGGACGGCTTTGATGGACAACAAGAATCAGGGGAGGCCTTGTGAAGCACTGGTGATCGAGGTTTTCAAAACTTTCCCGCACTTCACATCGTGGAGTCTTGCTACATTGGTGTTTTGTGCTTATCTACTCCTTTTCAAATTAACACCTTGCACTAATTATCCCATATTATCCGTGCTTTATGTATGACAGTAAGTGTACGTTCGTACTCCTGGATCACTTAATACTTAAGTCCATGGCGATCTTCACTATTCTGTCGGTCATGCCTTCAAATGATTGGCAAAACGTTACAGATCTGTTTGCGAAAATTAATTCACTGAGTTTTTAGTTAGTTTCATTTATAAGTAGTTATTAATTGTGAATTTTGCTGCCTCAAATAGTTTATAAAAGGATATTAAATTGAACCACCCTGTACTGAGTTTTTTCAACACATAAAGCTTTCTTAATTTGTTTAACATGCGCAGTTGCGCTATGAAAGTTTCTGAGAGCGATTGGTTATTGCAAAATATCACTGTAACCATGATTAATGGCATATAAGTCAACTTAGAAGTTCTACACATTTTCCTTTTCTTGACACATCGTAGTATCTTGCATGTTCCACGATCATTCAGGCCAAAACCACGTTTTTATGGCATGTTCGGCTACCACATGACTACAGCGTCAGACCGTGCTGTGGTGTTGACAACAAACGAACGCGACACTCTTGCTGTATACGAGGCAACTGATGGAGCTCTGGCTTTCGCACTCCCACATGGGGAGCGGCTCGATTCCACTGTACGTATTATCTATCGTTCGAAATCTAAGAGCTCTTAACATCCAACTCTTATTCTGAGTTGCTGTTTTCAAGAAGGAAGTTACTCTTCTTTTCACTCCTTCTTCCTTTCATTCCATATCCCTTTTCCGAGTCATTTTTTTGAGTGGCGATGAGGGTTATGTATTCGCTTTTTTCTGCATTGAAATAGGACTAACTGCATGACTTTTAGGTATTTCCCTACCTGGAGGATTTCGAACAGATCTTCTTATGGTTTCCTCCTCGTCACCTGGACTATGCAAAGGAATGGGGATATGCACTGAATGGTTCCAGATGCTATCTTATAAGGTTTATTTGTTAGTTCTTTGTTTTCAGCCATCAAGATGTTTTTTTTAAAAAGTTATAGAAATGAAGAACGGCCTATTGAATTAGTCCGTAACGGAAAACACAAGGAAGTGAAACACATTCTCAGCAGAGAAGCGGTAGGACTTTTTTGAGTTTTGATACATCGAAGCTTATTGCAATTTGCTTCTAAAGGTACGTCTTCGCGAAAAAGGATTTCGGTCCATGACAGATGTTCGTGAAGAAGTGAAAGCAGACCTCATCAACTCGAGTACTCGTCAACTAGGTTTTGCACAGGTAGATAATGAATATTACATGACCTAGCTTCTCCGCGAGAAACGAAAGCTCCATTTATCAAAAGCATGTATTATTCAAGAACTCTCTTTGCTCAATTTGCATATGTGTGAAATTTAGTTTGTTCTCGTTGATATTAGCTTGGAATCATTTTGTTAAACTTCTCATAACTCAACCGTCTGCCTTATTCCCATGCCTTTCTTTTAGTGGAATTTTACCCAAAAGGACTGTTAAAAGACCTGAAAAATTAATCCGACAGTATTACTTTCAATGCGTCTGTGATCAATTCTTCACGATTCTCAAACGTTGGTTGTGGAAACCACGGAATTGTAGCACGTTGAGATGAAATCTTGTCGATTTGAATTCAAATACTGATTTATTTTAATGTGAAACGGTTTACTCTCGCTTCAACATCATGTTTGCATGCTAACTTGCTGTCTGTATGAGGATGATCTCTGGCGTGACACTGTAGGTCTTCCAAGATAGGGAGGGTGTGTGTAGTCTTCAAATTTCACTCATTTTTTCAGCTCATTTTACATTTACTGAGTTTCTTTCAGTGGAAACGCTTTGCACCTCTGAATAAGTACTTGCTTGGTCTTCGTCCAGGGGAATTGACTGTGCTTACTGGAGGCACTGGTTTTGGCAAAACTACATTTTTATGCGAGTATGCGCTTGATTTATTCACACAAGGGGTATGTTCTACATCATCATGACAGTATAATTTTGCTTTCTCTTTATCGTCATCACAGGTGCGAACACTTTTCTGTAGTTTCGAGATGCCTGAGGAAAAGATTTTGAAGTGGATGCTTGTTCAGTACGCCGGGTATGTTTGTTTTAATCGTGTTCTATGAATTCTTTTTCATCCTTGCAGAAATGTTTAATGTTGTTAATGAGTATTTGTGCAGTCCCTCACACCTTCGAAGTCTGGCGCGTACCTTAACATATAAAAACGGAATCAAGTGAGCTGCGTGGTGTTAGTCCATGATAACTCACCATTTTGCATGCTGCTCTGAATCTGCATAGTTCTCTCTTGTTAGATATTTCGTATTCTTGACACCAAGCAGTTATTGTTTGTGGATATATTTGAATTACATTTTGCGTCAGTTCCTCCCGCATTCAGAGTGAACTGTGCCGATTCTAGATCCACAAGTGCGCTATGCTATTTGCAGTTTATGTGGTTTATGTGCAAGTTGACAGCTCATAGTTAGCAGACGTTTCTGTTTTGTCTTGTTCCATACACACATGTTCTCGTTGTAAAGTTGAGCATTCACACGAAAAATTGGTTGTCGTGCAATTACTTCGTCATTCAGAGTTCCACTGTATCGTGTAGAATACAGTAGCGCTATCGACATGTGGCTGGACAAATTCGAACGTACGAAAGGACCGTTAACAATCATGAAAACGGATGAGTTCAGGGAGAAAAGCATCAATCAGATTGCATCAGTGAGTTGGTGGTGGTGGTTGACAAGTATACCGGTAAACTTTCGCAAAAATGTTGTAAATTAATCGGCTAATATACGACAGCCAGTATTTTTAAACACGTGGTATGTGGATAGAGATGTTTTTTTAAAGTTTGATGTTCCGTTTTAACACCTAGAACGCGGCATGTAAATTTGTATGACTACCGCTTCCAATTGACGTTTACTTTTTCACGCTGTTTACTGTGCATTGGAATCGATATATTCTGGTTGACATCTATGAGTAATATTTGCTCTCCTCACCAGGATCAGTCTTTGTTGATTGACGAATAGATTGGTATGAAAAGTAGTCTTTTGTATGTCATTAAGTGCAGAGAGTAATTTTTATCGGGAGAACTATGGTACACTGATTGGTCCGTGTTGAAAAAGTTATCCGTTAAATACAAAAAGTGCAGAAACGTAACTTTGCGACATAGTAAGAAAAAATCAGCGGGAGACGTTGTTGATATCAAATCTTGCAAACCGGTGTACTTCACATACATGTGAGTGGAAATCAACTCATATCGGTCTATAAGTGTTAAATGGAATTTTCAATAAAACTTAGTACGATATTTTATTTATTTAGATATTTAGATATTATAAGATATTTCTCTTCTAAAAAACTATTGAAGTATTTTGAAAATACACAATGTTATACCTTTTATTTTCTGCCTACTATAATTTCGCGGCAGGATACTAAGCGAAATACAACCACAACGTTGGTGAGATATTTGCAAAACTCTGGACCGCAGGTGTCTATGGTGGGGTTTTGCAAATATCTCAGCAACGTTGTGGTTATATTTTGATAATACAAAAGATAGGATTCTATTGAAAGATTGCTCCCCAGGGAACTTTAACTTATTGGTCAAGATAGAAGAAACAGTTGCATGTGTACCTTTTTTGGTTGTTTTAAAAGCAATTAATGTCGTTAAAATTTCCGCTATGATCAACATTGTTCTCTTTTTTGGCATCTCATCACGACTCTATTCTAAAATAATTTAATGGCTTATTTTCTTCCTAGCAGTTAGTAAAACAGTTTCGTTGGTTTTAATGCCATGGATTTTATCAGCCCCGAGGAACGGTTGTCTTTCAGTAAGAATTCGGCGACTTCAATTCAAGGATCATTGAAATGCAGCATTTGCAGGATGTCATAGTATAATCTTTAGGAGTTGACTCTTATACTTTGTGTGAAAATATAGAGAGCAACCGAATTCAGTGCATTCACTAGTTAGCAGAACCATAAGCGTATCACGCTTATACAACCACAATGCTGATGGTACCTTTACAGTAAAAAATTGACTGAGGCAAAGGCAATGCAAGAGCATTAGTGGTGCGGTGGGTAACACGTGAGCCCCTGGAAAGTGTAATCACGGGTTCGAATCTTGACTGAGGTTTTGTCTGGAGTTTAGCAAAGACCGCAGTATCCTTGTGGTCGTATTTCATGTAGCATCCTGCCGTGAAAAGCATTAGGCAGTAAATAGAAAGTTGAACAATGTGATAGCACGCAGAGGTGAATGAATGCATATTTGGCCTATAAAATAACTTACCGATCTTAGTGAGCGTGATTCGTTATAGTTTGAAAGAGTTGTTGAGTCCATCATTTGGGATCGAACCACTGACCCCATGGACCCTGCAGGATGGATGGATCTAACCTCTGCGTCACGTTCGATGTGAATTCATCAATAACCAATTATACAAATAATAGACCGCTCTATAGAATAGATCCTAATTTTAATCATAACGTACTACTAATGAAATCGTTAACTATGTGCATACTGGAAAACAGTTTTTCAATTTTTTCTATTGCGATTAAGCACCAGTTTTTATACAGCTATATAACGTCGCAGAAAAGTAGCTCTGGCGTACTAGTAAAATCAGTGCGCAGCAGTCTGAAAGTCTGCATTCAAAACCCATCATATGAATCGATGAGACGATCAGACATTTCAATGTCAGTGGTTTGTGAATTTGTCTCAGCATCAGAAATAAAGGGCAAAAACCATATAGGTATAAGTGAAACAAAAGAAAAACATAAATCTTGTCAATACTGAGAAAATTCAAGCAAACATTTTGATACACCTCCTCATGCGATCGAAAACTGCGTCGTAGCACCAGAATTAAGCATTAAAAGTCTTCTAGGTTTTAAATTCCCAAGTTTTATTGATTTCAAACACTACTTTATCTTGTGATGGTATGCGACAGGGCTACGGTTTAAGAATGTTGTCTGAACGTTAAGGTTATATTTTCAGGCTATCCGCAGTCAAGTGGTGAACAGTGGCTGCCAGCACGTTGTCATCGACAATCTTCAGTTCTTAGTAAATCAGTCAACCATGGGTGACGATCAGTCGAGCAGTCTTGAACGCTTTCATATGCAGGTAAATAAAGCTGTGTATTTTCTGTACTGCTTTTCTATTACTATGTTGTATGATCAATGAACGAACTGATAATAACTCTACGATAATCCAGGAATCCTCCCAACTGTTTACCGCCTTATCATGGCTAAAGGGTGTTCCTGGTTGCCGGGCTGCGATGTAGAGTAGGGGATTCATCCCTTGACAGAGTCTCCCAAGCTGAGAAGGAGTCTGGCGTTTCCATGGTATCATAGTCGCATGGTGGCAAATCTTCCTCTGACCCACAAGAGCTGCAACTGCCTGTGGTGGTGAAGACCTGGGGCAGACTTCGGCCAGGCTCACCTCGGATTTCCAGGGAATCACAATGGCTTAACCAGCAAATTTCCGGAAAATGGACATTATGCTGGTGCCCGCACAACCAGTGAGGACGGACCATTCAAGTACCAAGTACCAAGTAATCCAGAAATGGTGCACATTTGGTGACGTGGATGTGGACAAAGATTGTAGTACTGGAAATGTCGCAGTATTTGAGTACTTTCTATGCATTGGTTCTCAAATAATTCTCGGAGAGCAGTAGATAATTATTTTCTAGGATTTTGACTATTAGAAAGCAAATACGGATAACGGTGCTCTCATCACAATAACTTTTATGAGTTTCGTTTTCTACCGCGTGAAGAAACTCCAACGGAGATTGCTTCAGCCTTAGGTTACATTTATTTTAGATTGTGTTCACTGTTTCAAGTCAGAAATACGTGAGCAGTATGCACTAGGTCGCACTAGTTTTGATCATCATAACCCGCTATTTGTGATGTTCTATAGAAATAAGACGTAATGGTAATCCGTAATTATCTCCGCCTTAACATTTATAAAATGTCTTTTTTAGATCAGCGTGAGATAAAAACTTATCCATTCATGGTCTTTTTTCCACTTACTGGGGCTTTTTGGACGTCACCTCTTTAGCTCTCTATGTTATTCTGTTTACGTTACTTCAAAAAACAGTACAATGCTCTTTGTAGTTAGTAGGCGATCAATCTCGTAACACTGTCGGAATTCTCGACGAAAAATTGCTTAACTGATCATCAGTGGCACATTTAGTTCATTTTACCGGATAACATTTTCTTTTTTCTCTTGCCATGAGATCAGCTTGTAAAAATGATTTGTTTCTAGCGTTATCTCTGACATTTTTCTAACGTCGGGTCCATCTTCATGCTATTCATGTCTTTCATATAATATGTCCTTCTTTCTTTTCAGGATCGTTTCGTAGGGCACATGCGAGCATTAGCAACGCAATACGGTGTTCACGTTACAATGGTTGTTCATCCAAGAAAAACTGACGTATGTTGTATAATTCTTGCAACACTTCGAAATTATGTCAGTAAACTGTTATGATCTTTATACTAGTTATAATTTTGTTCACTCAGGGAGACACAGATCTTGACATCCAGCATTTCGGTGGATCGGCTCGTGTTACTCAAGAAGCGGACAATGTGATTGCACTTCAGAGGAGACGTGATGATCGTGATCGCGGCAAATTTAGAAAATTTCTCTATGTAAGTGTAACGGTTAACAAGAAATTATGCTTCATTTTAAACAGCATGCCGTTCAATATTAGGAAAAGTTGAAAGTAATTGACGATAAGTTAACCAAACAGGCTTAAATGACTTAATTAATCTGTTTCATTGGGATCTTATGTTTCAGTAGTTGTTTTGGTTTTGTTTTAACAATACCTATAATTTGCAGATTCTAAAAAATCGCTATGGTGGACGTAAGGTGGAGACGGATCAACTTGAGATGCTTTTTCAACCCGGCACCTATTCCCATACGATTGTCGATCATTCACTGAAAATTTAGCTGGTTTAAACCAGTAACATCCAGCGTGAGTGGTGTTATTTTCTAAGTTCCTTCAGTTTCACTATTCATTCCCAGTCATACCCCACTTATTTATCCTTACTATCCTGTGTTTTTCTTGTACTTAATTCATTTATATTGTATTTCATGCTCGTGTTTACCTGACTTCTTCATATAGTTACGTTTTTCTTTTTATTCTGTCGAATAGTCAGTGTACTAGTAAATGGAAATCTGTTTAAGCCTGGGCTTTAAAAATGCTAGTAATCGGTTCTGATCTCTGGATTCTTCGAGTGATTTCACACTTTGCCAATCATTCGAGTCCCGAATATTCGATCATTTGCTTGTGATTCTATGAGCGATTTTCACACACAACTGTACAGTAGTCTAGTCTTGCACCTCGAGCATACGTGTTGTGTGTCTGTGTGACGTATCATTGGTTCCCTCTCATGATTTTGGTGTAATGAGTTTGAAAATTTGTAAAACTGCCATTCAACGGATGCTAGTTGCTTGTTGTTTATGGTGTTCAGTCGATCGTCGTCCGTCTACCCCTTGTTTCTTCCTCATTGGCTTATCTTCCTTTTCATCGATTCACCATTTCCGTATATTATTCTGGAAATATGCGTTGTTGAGAATGATGCTGATTTTGTGCTTACGTTGCTCGTGCTATAAAAGTACTATATTCTATTAGTAATGCCACAAAACTGATCACATACAGTAATACTTTACTAAACCGACTTTCATTTCAACTCGGCGTGAATAATAAATATACTTCTTTCGATTTTTTTCTAACCTTACACGTGATTGTTGTATAACGTTTATTCGGCTAACGTTTCGAAGACTACGTCTTCTTTAGAGCGGGTTGATCCTAGTCGATGGTACGTAGTCGGGTCAGTTGTTACCCATCCTTGTGAACTCTGAACGGCTGGTCTCCATGTGGATTTCTCAGTGGAAGACTTATAGGAAGTAGGCCTGAAGAAGCCGAAATTCGCCGAAACGTTAACTATTGTGAATAAGTAGTATGATGAACTTTGCTTATATTTGCTTATCTAAAAAACTGCGATTTATTGATCAATGCCGATATCATGGAAAGTCGGTCATTGGGATTGAAATTTATGGAATCCTTAACAGATTTGGTTCAACAGACACTCTCGAAGCATAATTTCCTCCTAATTGCTTACATGGATATGGACCATCGAGTCGGACCAACAAGCTCTGAAGAAGGGGAAGACGTCGAAACGTTAGTCGGGTAAAAGTTATATGACAACCATACTGAGCTGAGCTAAAGAAATATATTGATCACGTGCATTTAATTCCCACGACCGACTTTCTATTAAACTTATTAGACAACTTGACTTTTCGAGGCTCTGACGAAGGCGAAATCCGCTGAAACGTCAACTTGTTCTTAAATAAAAAAATCGAATAACACCTTGCCTTTGTTCAGCAAGAATATAAAGGATTAGTTGCATTTAATCTTAATGTCTTGTTAGTTAAACGATGTTTTCAAAAGAATCGTTAATGGAGGGCGAAGAAGGCACCCCTCTTTACGGTAAAAGTTTATGTCCAGAACTAAGAATTAGGCATGTTTGTGAAACCATCAAACCATCTGATCAAAAGAGGTAACCAGGGAATGCTGTTCATGAAGACAAGTAACCAGATAGCGCCCTATTGCCTCCAAAATACTACTCACTAGGTAGTGTAATTTCTTTATAGTTAAGAGGATCGTTCTACCCACGGCTAAAATATGTATTGTTGTTCTTCCACCTGACTGGCTAGAAATTTTTACTGGATCCGTGGAAGATTTACAATAAGCACGCACCAAAAACGTCGTAAAATGTAATGATTTCAGGGCCCCTATGAAGTCTGAGCTATGTTGGACACTGGAGTACTTCCGTACACTTCACATCACTTTTTGATTGCCTGTAATAATAAGAAGTTCTATCTAAGGAGTGTCAATGGTCACATCCTCTGTGGGCTATAGCCACCTCATGAAGTATCTTCCGTGATTAATCATTGTATCATAAGAAAGTGGTGGTGCTGAGGGCCAAATTTCGGTGTTTAGAAACGGTACAAAAGAGCTTCCTGTGCTATTTTCTACGACAAAAGTTTCAATAGTAGGCACTTTCATCATAGGCAACTTCTATCCCACCGCGAATTGAACTGGTCTAAGAAAATTATTCCACAAATTATTAGATATAGAAGATTCCACGCTTGATACGTATCTGTTGCATATGCTATTAATTGTGGCAGAAAAGCTGTACGTGGCAAAGTAATCCATTGCAAAATAAATGAAATGGATGCATTCCACTTTACCCGAACCTCACGCAATGCACACAACACACTTCGGACGTTCTGTGTAAGTAGATGATAAAGCGTTTGGAGTTCATCCGCCCTTTTTAATGTTCTACGAATCTGACTTCCCTGAGCATCAAGGAGATGATTGAATGCATACTTGATTTGCACAGTGACTTACAAAGGATATCTACATATCAAATCAGTATATTTATTCTTCTAGACTAATCTGACTAAACGGTGCTTGCTTAACCCAGGACGCCGTTCCGAACCAAAGACCATGTGCATTGAAGAACCAGTCTAACTACTGCACTACACTGACCCGTATTTTAACTTTTTCACGACCAGACACGCTGATTTCAATATGTACGCTGCTGCACGTTTAGGACCGTATATCTTCATTTTAATGCGCATCGAGTGCGCACCAATGACAGGCCATCCGATAGACCACCCACGCGAAAATGCCTGAGGTTGTGAAAGGGTTTAATCTTTTGTATTGTACCAACTATTTGGTGATATAATGAGATTGGTCCATGAAGAGGTAGCTTGAGGATTACATGCAAAGAAGTCGTTTCGGACGGTGGAGTGGAATCGATGGTCATAAAAACATAAAGGAGTTATAGAAATACACTTAAACTATCACATAAAGCCTTGCTGAAAGCTATTAACATCATGCAAGAGTTAGATCACACTTAAGATGTACAAGAACATGGAAGCATACACGCACGATAGAACATAGCAGATGTGTTGAAGTTAGAAAACATGGAAAAATTAGAGGAAACAGAGCGATAGAACAATAATCCCAAGAAACCAGTGCGTCGTGATTATTGTGCGGAATCTTGGACGGCACATCTTGAATCCGATGCGCGTTCCGATTGCGCTCCTATGGCACACGGATCAATTAACTCCACACGGGGAAGTGGGCACAGTCGTGAAATGGGTGGGATTATAATGAAAATCCTCCCTGTTATCAGTATAGTCGATGGTGTTTCTACCACAGAACGGTGATATTATTCACATATTTGTAGGGTATGGACATGAGAACTGCTACTCTGCAATGATCATTTACAAACCTACGTGTTGAATCTTCAGAGCCGCTCTTTTTGCTCGGTTACGCTCTTTCAAGTGTTCATCGTTTTTTATAATGTCTGCGTACAGTAAATTTTATCAACAACTCAATTTCGCTTTTGAGAGATACACCTCTATGGGAGATATGTGAAGGAAACCAAGAACAATCAGTGACGCTGACATCCTCATGCTTTGCCTAATTACTGTTCATCGAGTTATATAATAGAAATAGAAGAGTTATATAATAGAAGAAACTTGTGATTTATACGACAATACGAACGTCACACAAAGGTTTCCTGTATGAAGAACGATGTGATGATCATATTAAAATAGGACTAGAGATATGAACTGAGGCTATTAATTCGCTATTAATTAAAGATGACATGTTCCACCACATGAAGATGAATAGATGAAGCGTTTCCATAAATTTTTGAAACGCCGATCATCAACAGGTAATAAGCACTGCGTCGGTGAGAGGAAGCAAATTCTCAGTGCTACTGGCCGTTGCTTCGCATATTCTGTTAGGGTTATGAAAACATTTCAATTATTTAATCATCAAATTCTTCCGAATGTGATTTATTTTGCAAATCTTAGTGCAGTAAAATAAAGCCGCATTTCGTCGAAGGTACTCGGAGAAACGAAGTTGTAAACTATAATTGTGTACCATCGACTACGGAACCTTCCCAGTGGTTTAACCTGTCGTGGCTGGGAGGTGTTCCTGAGTTTTCGGCTGCAATGTACAGCGGGTGGATCCATCTCTCCTGCAGGGTCTCACTGAGAAGAAACCCGGCGTTTCCATCATGAAGCCCAGCTAAGAGTAAACCAATACCAGAATCCACCACCGTCCTGGTATCAAACTAAGTCGCATGGTGGTAGATCTCTCTCTGATCCACAAGGGCGGCGACGCCTGTGGTCCTAGGGCAGACCTTGGCTAAGCTGACCTCGGGACTCCAGGGAACCGCAAAGACTAAACCAGCAAGAGTCCGAAAAAATGGAAACTGTCCTGGGACCCGCACAACCAGTGGAGACGGGTTATCGAAGCATCCAAAATTACGGAACATGTTATCCGGTCAAACTTCATGCATTTTTGCATCGTTTGCCTCCTATTGTCTTTTCTTGAATCTATAACGTCCAAGTCCGACAACAACTATTTTAATGACTAATAATATTAATAGCACCACGTTGTCATCACCCTTAGAGAACTGTTTGAGCAGTTTTTTTGAAGAGTTCTTAATTTACAGATTGTATGAATGTCACCTTCATTGTTCTTCACAACAATCTTCACGATGAAGACGTATAGATAGCGTTTAAACTATATGGAAGCACGATATTTTACTCTATTAGTAGACTAACACGAGGTTGTTATAGAAAATTAAGCATAGAGTCTATATAGCTCTCTATTCCATCCAGAATATTCGCTGTCTTCCCGAACAAATCACAATTGTATTTCTCTTGCATCAGCTGTGTATCATGCTAGGATATTTTCCTTTCGCAGGTATGATTCAATAACCGACGTGATATTATGCTTCTCTATCTCTATCTGTCAGTAGCACCGTACTTTGCATTAGTTTAACGTTTATGTAAAAGCTTAATTGCCCAATTTAGGCCCTATGAAGGCGAAAAAAATACAGCTCCACAGATCATCGTGAACACGAATGGATGCATATATGGTCTATCCAGTAACTTGCGAGAGCGTACCAATATATCGAGTCAGTACTTCTTGTCCTCTCATATAAATCTGGTGCTAACTTCCTAACAACGAGGGGATGGAGTTCTTGGCGTGCTCAAGGTGCACAAACGACCACTGATGCATTGCAGATTACCTCAATAGACTGCTTCAAACACAACGTTGAAGCAAAATATTACAGTAACACCGTGACGCAGTTAAGGGTTTTCTTACGATGCTTTAGGAAAACCTAAATGTACTTGTTTTTGAGATTAAACTAGAAGTAGAAAAAAACCAGAAATGTTAGAAAATACAAATATAAATCTTTCTACTTCTGTTCAGCAAACACGAGGTGCTATCTTATTTCTTTATTTACGCACAAGCTGACGTTTCGGCGGATTTCGCCTTCCTCAGAGCCTGGAAGGGAAGGGTCAAGTTGACAGCAATCCACTCGGCCAAACACCTCCATAACCAAACAGAGAAAACGCTAAACCAAGATTTCAATCACATTTAGCATAGCTCTGCACACTCACCGCTTTCTATGAGTCTTCCACTGAGTATATATCACGTGAAGACCGACCGCACAGAATTCACATGGAAGCGTAATGTGCCCCTCCCATTAGAATAACAGATTTATATACTGTCCAATATCACGCGTGATAACGAGGCATTCCTCCCTGCGGTTCATTTTCGGATTCTTGGAATTTATCCAGAATGCCTCTAGAGTTTTGCGCGCTTGTGTTCTCAATTCTTGCGCGAGGATCGTAACCCCTACTTCAAAATCTTCTCCGTTATGTTTCTGCGTGCTGTGGGTACCTAGTGGAGTGCTTAGCTTACGTTTGCCGACTAGGTGTTCTTTTATACGTACGCAGAGTGGTCTACCCGTTTCGCCAACGTATTCGTCCCCGCACGCTTTACAAGAGATCAGATAGACTGTACCCGAACTCATGTACTCACCGTCTCTACCATTGGGGCAAATTATGCAATTTTGCGTTGCACATAGACGGTCGTATAGGCGGTTACGAACTAGCTGGCGCCTTAGATTATTCGGTGGTATTTCGATTATCGTTACCGAATTCTCTAGACTGGCCCTTCTTAAACAGCGTTTTATAGCTGCACTTACTTCATTTGAAATAAAGGGCAGTATAAACGGGACCTTGTTGTCGCTAGAGTTATCGTTGGGGTACCTCTGGTTTCCTCTACACCTATCTGGAGCTACGGTTTCGTAGCCATTAAAAATGGCTATTTGCCGCGCCAAGTTCAATTATAAAAAAATACAGATATAATAACAATACAAATATAATACAAATATAAATATTGTTACACTTCGTAGTGGCTGCTAAAGACGCCGACTGATAAAGGATGGGTTGTCCGGAGAAAATAAACTATTATCATCAGATAATCAGTATCAACAACAACAGCCGTATATAAAGACGCAGTGCAAATGTGGTAATAGCCACATCGGAACAAGGAACACCTGTGAACAATCGACTCTGAGCAATCCGGCTATGAAGAAGGTGAAGGCGCCGAAACGTCAGCCGAATAAAGTCTTTTATCAACCTCGAGTTACTTTATTAATGAATGGAAAAAGAGATGATGGTTAGTCACGCCGAAGTTAAAGGAAAGCCGGTTTTTGAAATAGAAACTAGAAATATTTGTTATCTAGTAGAAAGAGAACAACGTTGAAGCAGTAGTGAACAAATTCCATTACAAAGAAACTTTATACTACGCAATCAATATCATATTTTCGCCTAAATTTGAAAGGAATTTGAAAATGATTTGTACATAAAGCGTGCTCCTGCCAAACAAGAAAATTCCATTGAAGGCGAGAATGTGCAAACTAAAGACATTTATTTCTTTGTAAGAACTAGTGAGTGGAGTCAAGTGTTTTCTTTCTAAATGATATTGGCCAATGCCGATGTTGACAGAATTCGTTATTTATCCTCTACATAGAAAACCACAGCTGCAAAAAGACTAACTCATTTAGTATACAATTCTAGAACTCCTCTAAGGGAGCTCACATCTTTTACTAAATAATAATCGCTAATTCTACCACAAAATAGCATCTAGAGAGAGATCTAACAAACTTTACTTTTGCAACGACGGACTAGCACTGAACGAATAACGTGAGAGATGAGTGTCCAGGTTTAAAAAAACGACGGATCTTTCGCGATGATAACTGAAATGTTCCGTTCTGTTCACGCTAGACATCCTGATCATTGATGAAGAATAGATTTTAAAAAAAAACTAACCATATCATTTCCAATTGAATGTTCGAGTCTTACCGATGTTAATGTTGGCCATAGATTGACATGGGACTGTGGTTTCACATCTTTCTTTCTAAATCGTCGACGTAGAAAAGAGCGAGGACACAACTTCAAATGACGAAGTCTTGAAGGAACCAAATGTTGAAACATCCCACTGCTCATCCATCAAATTAATGACAACTAGGACAGTTGTGCGCCGAAATTCGCCAATATCCATATACAGGAATTCGAGCACAAAGTTGTAATGCACACGTCCTACGAGGCTGCGAATTAACTATGATAAGAAAAATGGTCGCGGTAAAATAGCTAGTTAAACGGTCAGGATGACCGCTTTGCGACACTTCTGAATTCCCGTCTTACAATGACATTATCAGCGATGTGAAGAGATGGCAATAAAGAATAAAGATGGACCAAGTTATAGAACTTGATGGCCAACAAACCCTGCAGAAAAGCGTTCCTTAGCTAAACTCAAACAAAGTGATGTGTACGGTAAGTAATCTTGTTCCTAACGCTTTACTAACGCACGACAATCGAATTTGTGGTAAAGAAGAATGAGGAACCCCTGACTGTACGCCCATTTCGATAATCTCACATCGCTTACTGCCATTACGTAAATCTTGGAATCCGGTACCCTTTGTAAGCAGGATGCTAGTACGGTTAATGTTATGCAACACGCGTCATGATGGTGGGCCCAGTATAAGAGTTGCCAGTAAGCGAATTCGGCAGAACGTTATGCGTTTAATTGTAAAACTAATAAACTACTTGACGATGAACGTAAACAACACACTACCCACAATATCGAGAATACATATGATATGCTACTATAACGAAGAATGAAGAGCCTTCTAAAACCCGTTTCACATACTCAGTGATTAATGAGAAAGGACGCGAATGAGCATATTTCCTCATAGGTCTCTCGGCTCAAAGAATGCTTCTGCTTAGTTTCAGGTGTCAAATATGGAGGGGTTAAATAGACGATTTTCATCTCCATGATAATAACGGGAAGGAATCAAACTTGGGAGGTGACCACTGAGAAACCGATGTGCTCCTTGACTGTGGGAAATGGTTTCATCCCGAAATCATGTTTGTTTGGTCGCTTTTCCTTTTCTTTTTTTTTTTGTTCGCAGTGCAACTCTAGTGATCACATATTAGAACTACTACATGATCTCAAAAGGAAGGAAGAAATGAAGCCATCTATAGCATAATGCTCACAGTATAATTTATCCACCACTACTGAGCATGTTTAATCGAACCTGCTTTTCTTTTCTAAAAATGAAAGTCGTTCAGCATAAGTATCTAGACAGTACACAATGCAGTAAGTGGGATGAGCACACTAACCTAACCATTAGGCAATAGCTTTAACATAATGGATAAAGGTTAAAGCTCTCGGCGTTGATCAATCCTTGAGGGATGCGCCATGCATTCGACTTCATTAAGTATCGTTGGAGGTGAATGAATGCATATCTGGCCTTTAAAATGTCTCCCGGTAGCCTACCGATATATAGAGCCAGTATTGCTATCCTCCCGGACAAGTCTAGTATCAATTTGTCGACTCCGGAGGGATGGAAGGCTTGGTGGGCCACGGGCGCGCCACAAGCGCCCTGCTTTAACACATACTGTTGAAAACCGATTTTGATTTAATCTCGATATGAACAATCAGCGTTCTGCAACGTGGTATAACAAAATATGTCCAAACGTGATGAGGATTCAAAGTAATTAAAACTCAAAAGTCCACAAAGGAACAAACTTTTGCGAATTTTACTCTGCATGGACCGAAAAAACGGCCCGAAGCACATAATTGTGAATTATGGAACGTAAATTGACCATCCGAATTAATCTTGGATGCAAGTTTTCACATTGAATTAATCGTAGTACGAGAATCATTAGTCTTGTCGTATAATCGGAAAGAATATAAGACTTTATTATCGTGAAATTATCGTATACCTAAATGTGTTTCCATCGCTGAGGAGTGGATAGTAACCAAATTTTCTTGGAAGAGCAACGACGAGTGCTGTCAGTACAGCTAGTATAGCTACTGGTCGACTGATGGGCATGGTAGCCGCTGGAAAACAGTTACACTTCTTTCGAATTCGTATCCAGAGCAAACAACCAATTTAACCTTGAAACATTTGAACTATTCATATGAAAAACGCATGACAAATGATTTAGGACAGGGTCGAGATGTGAGGTACTGAGGTGAATGTTGTAAAGTACCATTTGCTACACCAGACATGAAATAAGCAGTTGGTGAATACGGTTACCTTTGCTATTATTTGGTTCGCTAATCTCAGCGTCTCGAAGTTCAACAAGGAAAAAGTGTCATTCAAAGACTGTTCTTCAAAACTATCATTACGGAATATAACCTTAGACGTATGACTGACCAACGTGAAAACCTAAGAACAACCATAATTTGTTTAAATTGTTAGCTTGGGTAAAAAATTACCTGAATTAAAAAAAAGATTCACGAATCCTTCGGAATATTCCGTAAACAAATGAGTACTATGGTAGCAAATATCGGTTCGTGAAGATTATATTACTTCTATTCACTCAGATAAGTTAAATCGCTTAAAGATAATAAGCAAATACACGTCCCCAGAGAATCCAAAGAACACTCTTTGTAGTCGAACGTTTGAATTACACCAGGTTTATGTTTCTTCAGAAAAAAAATGCTATACGACCATAAAAGCTTGCGAACTACTAGTGGATAAACGAAGGACTAATGATGTTTGTAAATGGTACTGCACACATTTCTTAACAAAAATATACGCTTATCATTCACTCAAGCTGCAGCTAAATTCATCCTCGAACCCGACCATTTCCATAGTTCATGGTTAGAAGAGAAAGAAATTAGTAGAGGAAGTGTTGAGAACCAAAAGATATTGAAGATGTGTTATTGAAATGACTAAAAATCTACATATGCAACCATTTTCATTCGTTCGGGGAATATCTGAGGAAGAACTGTTTTTCTATAATAAATAACGAGAAACCCATAGAATTGCTACAGAAAAAAAAACAGTTTTAGTGCCCATGATATCAAATCACAGGAGAAATAGTGGGAATCCTTACTTCGTAGAGAAAATCCCCCTGTACCGATGTTCGAACGACCACATAGTAATGAAAATATTAAGCAACCTGATGATATCATCGGTTGGAATTGGAAAAGTCGGAAAAGCGCCAAAAAATAGTCGTTGCATAAGACCAAGACCTTATAGATGGCCAATCATCGCTTAGAATCACACCAAATGAACTTGGTAAATATATAATACCTGGAATGTTCCACCATAACTGAAACTGACAACGATGCAGCGCTGTCATGGCTAGCAACGGACTTGACACGAGCGTAGTTAGCATTGAACTGAGTCAATAAGGTGGATCCAACATAGAAACGCATATGTTAATTGAAACTAGCAATTAGTAACTAGCTATTTAGAGATCCATTCTGTATAGGCCCGACGATTAAAAGTGTACGAAAAAGGTCGGAAGCAAGAACTGATGACAACTTCCTCGTTAGCTCTTGGAATAAGCGATAGACAATTTATCGAAAAACGGCAATTAAATACAGCAATGGCAAGCCTCTCATCTGCGATTGATGTCACCAAAACCGAAACCAGCAATTACAAAAGACAGAGCAGAGGTGTGATTGGCTAAAAGGCGTTACGAATCAAGAACACTTATGAGGGATGAAGTATATATCGGTTGATCTTACAGAACACTCATTCGTCCTCACATTAAAAGAAAAGAAGGCGAATGAATGAATGTTAAGTCGAAATAGTTCGTCTCATCATATCATACACTAAAGTGAGGCAGTACGAATTCACCACGATTCATTCTGTTGTGGCGTCTTGTCATTCTTGTCATCATACTTCAATACAGGGAATTCATTCAGCCTGCATAATCAGATTAGCATCAATCCTTCTTTGTGCTTCCATGTAAACGATGACGACCTGAGTGGAACTCATGGGAACAGATTAATGACTGGGTGCCTAACTCTTAAACAGACGCATTGACATGCGTCTAAATGGACTATTTCAGCAACCAAATGCGCAGCTTTCCCGTTTCGTAAAAGCATATTTGTGTATTTGTCAAAAAATCAATGGAGAAGGTAGACCGCGAGTAAGCATTCGTTTTATTGATAAGCTAACTGTTTACGTCAAATGGAACACAACGGACACCTGCAAGACTCAAATGGATGTACTAAATCTTGTGTCACTATTAGATCGTAAAACGATAGTTTACAACTAGGTAGATTTTACAAAAGCATTTAAAGCAAATTAACTAGCGTCGATTTTTTGTTCCTTTGGCATAGGCGCAACAGGCACGCCAATTCGGTCCCATTGATTGATGAGATCCAAATCAAGAGTAGCGGCTTCTTCCAACGGTACATTTCCCTGTGGAGAAACAAAATAGTCATCTTGAACTCGGGTCGCGTTTGACAACACCTAAACAAAGACACTCAACACACAAATATAAAGCAAGTCAACCAAGAACAGTTGTGTCTAAGAGACCCTTTCAACTACACATAGTTCTCTAACAAGCCCTATAGAAATAAGACCATCACAAAAGGGAATACGAAACTGCCATCCCATGAGCTCTGTGATTCTTAAACCTCCATTAAAAGGACCTTAACAAACTTTACTTTTGGCTACAACATGAACGAAGAACTTGCTAAGGGTGATTTCAATTATGAACACCAAACATATTGATTGATGAGATCTAATCCAGTTCGTCTCGTTTAAAGTGTGGTTTGGCATGAGGTATCAAATTCGGCAGTCCGAAAGGTGTACTTTACAAAATCAAAAAACCATTTCCACTATACAATGGCAAGAAAAAGGATAACGACAACAAACATAAAGAAGGAAGTATTTAGGGCGGTATTTGAAATCACTTAAGATAACATTGTATTCTTCAGTTTGAAGAAGTTATTTACTTCACAGACCTGTTTCACGGTAAGAGGTTCATCTGGAATATCCGCCTGTAACGGACAATCTTGTTTTTCCCAAACAGTATACATCATTTCCACATCCTAAAATTTAACACTCTAGAAAAGTACTGACAACACCAAAAGTTTTCCTTGTTCGTCTCGTTTAAAATACCTAATACCCTTCATTCCAAAGAAATGTTGAAATTCTATGAATTGTATGTTATCGTAGATGAGATAGAGCTCATGAAGCAAGCCATTTCATGATGTTGTCAACATGTGTTCACGAACTATGCTCGCAATACCACTATGACTTTCACTGAAGGAAGCAAAACAGAGAACAAATAAGAAAGACAATTTCTTTCAATGCACCATTATTGAGCCGCCAATGAGCCGTAGAATGAATTACATCGTGAAAATTTACTGAGCGATACGTTGAAATTATAACGATGTTTAACCTCCCAATAAATTCTTTTAGAATCGTACTCATACAACAGATATTTCGACCTCATTAAAAAAGTAGTATACTTGTTTGAGAAAAAACGTGATCAGGATATGCAAGTAATGGATGTCCTTGCAATAATATCATCGACAATAAAATTAACAAGAATGTCATGGAGTGGAAGAACTACGTAGTAAAAAATAATAGTCTTTGACTTCCAAGAGTTCACACATGGGCAGAAATTCAAGTTCCAAAACAAAGAGAAAAGCTTTGCCCAAAAGTATCAAGTCGCAATAACTTATAGATGTGTTCCAATAATTTGTCATTGCTATACTCCCACAACATTGTTCGCATATCTTATTTTACACAACCCGTCAATGCTTTTATCCTTCCATAAGAGGACAATCAGTATCAGATTTTTCTGGGGAAACTCTTCAAGCCATCACAAAACCTCTCGAATATTTCTGATGAAACCCTTATAGCGTCCTAGGAAGTCTATTTCAGGGATTCCACAGAAAGTGAATTCGACTAGGATTCAATGACATTCGTGAAGAACACAAAAATCTCAACGTCCAGCCGAATCTAGAAGAAGATCAGGACTTCGTGGACGATTGATGAAAGTGAGTGGACCGTATGTAAGAAGTGCTGGAATCTGCACGATACATGACGACGATTCGTAAAGTGAAAGTAAAGTGTTGCGCATTAATCGAATCTCATAACTGTACAACGCGTTCGACTTTACTGAGTAGCCCTACAGATACAACAAGCCAGTGTTTCTCGTCCTCAAAACAAATAAGTACTAAGTTGGCGACCGCGGATGAACAAGACTTGGTTGGACGAGACCAGTGTAGAACCAGGGTGCCCACTACAGATCATCACTAACCACTGCGTTTCACAGACTTGATTTTTCCTATATTACACAATTAGACCAACCCGATCCACATGAACAGCAAAGTGATCGAATTGATGGAATCTATGAAAACTGCTTCTGTAATGCAAGCTCTGATGGACTGCTTTATGTTTGTGGAGCTGATACTTTCAACAGTTATAACGTCAGCGGATTATAGTATTGTTTGTTTTACAGGAATGTACAAATGTTATCACCTTGACTTATGAGTTATAACTTTGGCATAGATAATAGGGTAACATAGATGCAGATACTATCTCCAGTTCTGGCATGCGCGTAATGACATATTCCTCACCTCACGGTCAATTTGCCTTAACACGCTAGCTTTTCTCACAGTAGTTCTCAGCTGTGCAACGGCTTGCTCGTTATGGAATCGAAATAGAGAGTGTGATTCGAGACATGAGATTAACTTTTGGTCAAATTCTGGCACCGATGCACCACGTTCGTCCTCTATCTGAACAACATTAAAAAGAACATCTAACCAACTTCGCCTTTACGGTGTCATCGAGTGTTTCAGAATGGGGTGTTAGTAGAGAATAGATCTCAACATCAAAGTCGAGGAGATCTACTCCCACAGGATGCTTATTTGTATCCGAAAAGTCCTGTGTTCAATATGTAATGTAGTCACAGATCTTTTAGTGAAATGTGTGAAACATTTAAGAACCTGACAATTTAATGAACTGAAAGCAAAAATCGTTGTTTTAATAATTGGATGGCTTGTCTTCACGACGAATTGGGAATGCCTCAGCACAATTTCCACTTGACAACTAGCTCCCGGATCGCATCAGATTTGCTTTCTTTGGGATTTTGAATTTATTACGACTACATTTCTACTGGGAGGGCCGTGATTCCTACCATTGGTTTATCTTCGGCAAACTTTTGTGCGGAAACAACGAACTCCTCCTTCTCAGCTTGTGAGAGTGCTGGAATGATAAATCCCGCGTTACATCGCAATTTCACATCCCGAAAGATCACAAAACCAAGTAAAGTGTTCCTTCTTTTTTTTAAGTCCTTTGAATTAAAGTTGTAAAAAAAACTTCGAAAATTTCGAGTTTCTGGAGTACAACAAGGTCACAAATAAGTATTGATGTCGCATCTGAAGACACTAGCTGACCGGAATCCCATTTGCTCAGTCGTTTTGCTGCTAGGCATATAAGCTTCGACGGCAAGAATCGAAAAAAAAAAGAAAAGAGAACCAACTGTGGACTCTATGAAGTAGAAATTTTATAACGGTGAGATAAAGAGACTTGTGTCTAGGTGGTAAAAAAAATCTTTGATTCGAATAGTTTGCACTTCAGTAGGACTTCCATGACGAAAAGCGACTTTTTGACTACACCAGGAAAAGAATAAGACACTGAATATAGCTCCGATGTTGATTTGAACATGTTCCAATTACCATTTGAAAAACTAAAACACGTCAGCAGTGGACGTTCTAACGATTCATCTGACGACACACTACAACAGGGATTTGTATTGTTTATAGCTCCCATGACGTACTTCCTATTAACCTTGGCACTGATCGAACAACTATTTATATTTTTGTTTAGCAAATACGAGTTGTTACTATTTCTTTATTTACGCACAAGCTAACGTCTCGGCATATTTCGCATTCCTCAGACACGTGCCAACTTAACACTTCCGGCCTCTGAGGAAGGTGAACTCTGGCGAAGCCTCAGCTTATGTGTAAATAAAGAAATAATAACACCTCGTGTTTGCTAAACAAGAATAAAGGATGAGGATAAACCTCTCGGCGCCGATCAATCCCTGAGGGATGCGCCATGCATTCGACTTCATAGGGCATCGCTTGAAGAGGATTGAATGCATATCTGGCCTTTATATTAATTCGCGATGGCCTACCCATGTAGCGAGCCAGTGCTGCTATCCTCCCAGACAAGTTTGGTACCAATTTTTTTCTGAAAAGAGCTTATTTTTTCAGATGCTTTCAGAGATTAGGGTGTTTACAGGCTGAATTTTCGCGAAGCTAGATGTGATCACTCCTAACTTCTCGAGTGCTTTAGTAATAAAAATTTAGCTTTTTTCTCGACGGCAACTTTGAATTGGTTCCTAAATCTCCACCTTACCCAGTCCCATGATTAAACATTTTGGCCCTGACGAAGTACGAGATGCGTAAGCTGCACAACCTGTACACACGTAGTGTCACGTATGAACTAAATATGATTACATTTATACATTAGACAAAGATTTATCATGTGCAAGAGAGACGAATGTATCCTCTATCAAGCATAATTCATAAAGGAAATGCAAAATAAAGCTAGTGCATGTTCCCTTCTGTTCCACGTCCAACCTACTATTCGCCACTTGAGAAAAAATCGCTCACACCAAACACGTCAAAGATTCATCCAGGAAAGCAAGATACTAGCAGTAACAACAAGAACTAGCTTCCTAAACACGTCTGAACATCGAGTCAGTGATTCTTCTGGTGTGAGCTTCACGTACCCTTTGATGCACTTGCAAAAAGCTCTTTACTGAGTAGCGTTATGAAATATCACGTAGTCAGAATTCGTTGAAATCTTGGCAATATGGTAGCGTCTCGTATGTGATCGTTGACATAAAGCAGAACCTCGAATTCACTCTCAAACTGACGCGACATTTACTACTTTTAGCATCATCACTTTAATAGCACATTAAATAATGCACAACAAAAAAGACCAGAACAGTATCCCTTGAAATAACGGATAAAGGACGAAGCTCTCGAAAATGATTAATTCTTGACCACGATGCACGATGCATTCATTTTCATCAATCATTGACGAGGTGTAGGCATATCTGACCTAAGCAACAACTTGTGGAGACCTACCGATGCATTAAATCAGTGGCGCTACCCTACCAGATAAGTATGGCACCAATTTTTCGCACCCAGAGAGAGAGAAGGGTTTGGTGAGCTTCGGGCACATAATCGAACCAGTGACTATATGTGTACTGTGGGGCACAACTAACCTCTACGCTAAGCTTACCTCTGAAATACAACCTAAAAATTCAACACCTAGCCGTGCTTGGATGCTCATGTGATGAGAACAACGGACAACTAAAAGAGAAGAGCAATGAACTGGACTCGAAAATCATACAACCTTCCCTGCAAGATTGACGGCTGTAATTGTGAGATGAGTTAACAAATAACACTCTCACACGGGTACGCTGGATGACTCACAGAATAGTACTCAGAAATAACTAAATTCAAGAAGCAGACCACCACCCCACTTGGAACAACCATGTAAAGGAAGAAATGAATGGAAAATGTGCTGGGGCTTAAAGTAGAAGTAAAAATGGGACGTTCAGCAATCCAAATAAGAGCATAAGCTGGAACATCATCACGTCAATAACACCTCTACTCTAACAAATAAGACTTCAAATTGAAGAAGCAAAAACAATTACATGGCTTATTTCCGGCTTACTAGTTATTAACACTGCATCACCCTCGTACGGTACTTTGCCTGATAGCAGGGCAATGCGGCGTAAATTCGCATTGAATAGCTTACGCAGTGCAACTGTCATCTAAATTACATTTTAATGAACAAAAATTAAGAAAAACTGCTATGAAAAGTGAAGAAACAGCTGTGTGGATCTAGAGTCACACAGAGTGAGAACACAAATGAATCTCCATGAGACTGTGTATCAAGGACACTTTCATCCTCAACTTTAATAATCATGCAGCAAAACAAAACAAAACCATCGTGAAATACACAATTGCAGTTCGAACCGGAACCTACCAGACAATCAAGGAAACATTCAAAACTACTGGACCAACATGCGAACTCATACACAACAGTGTACGAAACTATTAATTATTAGCGATACTGTTAAACTTAAACTATAAACTGATGCTTGCACTAGAAGACGAATCCGATACACCTCCAGAGACGCCGACTTTTCGCCTACGGTGTTCCTCGTTTTTCTTATCCACCTGCTGTCGAGTATGGAAAAACCAATAGAGTAAATCGTCAAATTCACCTTAAACAACAAAAAAAAACAATCAGTATTGAGATTGAATAACGAAAAAGAAAGACAGGCTAAAAGTAAAGCTGAAGAAGTATATTCAAAGGTAACGATAATGAGGTTCTCTGCAGGTCATATTGTTGCTTTTTAAATTTTATCCTTACTAGCTTTCTAAATATCGATCTTAACTGCAGAATACTGTTCAACATAGATCTATGAATACCTAAACACATTCTTGACAACATGCATTGATATTTATGCAAGTAGGAAAGAAAATAATTGCGGCCTTCAACTTTACACGAATATAGTCTGTAGTTGACTTTATTAATTGCTATAAAAAATCACAATCCTCAGATTTTGCTCATATGACGTGCGTATTTCTCTACAGCGATAAACCTCTGGACCTTTGATGACTATAATTCGTCGACAATCGTATTTCGAATGTCGAAGCGACTGATCGTAATTCCGTTGAACAGCGTATGACGGTTTCCCAAAATTTACTTCTGACGCTTGCTGCTGCCTTCTTTGAGTTAAGAATTTCGAAGATTTTAAATTTGCTCCCTATTTCTCAAGACTTTGAGTTAAAACAAGTTCAAAATTGAAAGGCCTTCTTTGGGAAAGAATTTACATCATTAAAGACGTAGGTAAAAATTTATTTAAGTCTATCTAGCTCTCAACTCTTAAAGTTCTCCAGTTATGCAAAAAATATCCGCTATTATCAAAAACCAGCTGTTTCTCACGAATCTTCTAAACTTTGCTCATTCATAAATAGCGGATTCAACGAACTGCTGATCAGTATCTCATTTAACATCTCGTAATTGCGATAAGGCGCTCCTAAATTTTAAGCTTTCGTACGGCATACATACTACAGCCCGCCTCCGGACACAAAGCAGACAATATAACTGGGTCCAGAGAATGGTTTTTGCTAAACTATTGTACGTTTAAACAGGTTTCCTTGACCTGCTTCCTTACAACAATTGTAGTGATGAATCTATCCATCAGTAATCTATCGTTTCAGTGTAAATGTAGCGAAGAAGTTAACTGTTACAAAAGAAAGCCGAGAACAACGTTCTATGAAACCAATACGAATCTGCCACAAAGCCCTGAACATGCTCACGGAGATCATTACGCATCATCGCGGATTGGTTAGAAAAGTGCAGTAGAAACGATAACAGAAATAACGAAATCTGGTTCATCCAACATTTGAACAACATACTTAGATACTTGGATGGCCCGCCCACACCGGTTGTATGGGCCCCAGCACAATGTCCATTTTTTTGAAGTTTTGCTAGTTTAGCCATTGTGGTTCCCTGGAGTCCCGAGGTCAGCGAGGCCAAAATTTGCCTCTGGTCGCCACCAACACAGGCAATTGTCGCTTTTGTGGATCAGAGGGGGATTTACCACCATACGACTAATTCGATGCGAAGATGGCGCTGGATCCTGGTACTGGCTTAGTCTTAGTTGGGGTTCCCGAAGTAAACGCAAGACTCTTTCTTAGCTTGGGAGACCCTGCCATGGGGATGAATCCCTCTGCTTTACATTGCAGTCCGACATCTAGGAACACCTCTAAGCCACAATAACGAGGTAAACGGTTGAGAGGATTAGAACGCGCAAAAAATGACACACAAATTAGAACAACATGAAAGAAACAAAATCTGCGCCCTTTCATTTCACAAAACTATCGTTATCGGTCTAGGACAAGGTAATGCGGCAACGAGGAAATCAGCTTTTTCTTGGAACTGAACGCATCAATTTAATAAATAAAGAAAACATTCTTCCAACATTTTCTGATGGCCGTAAATGAGAACAGTTACAATATAATACTATGGACTACCATATGAGCTTGACGCATTACGCAATATTTAAATAGACAGTGAACCTCAATCGATTGGAGTCGCAACACCCAAAAAGGGTAAAAAATACTCAATACAGCCAACCACCACCCTACGCAATCCTCGTACGTAATCGCGTTGATGTTATAAATATTTGACCAACAAGACTGAACATGTTTGAATGTTTTATAATAAGACAATTCTGCATCAGTATGAGACCGTTTCGACTTTGTTATTAACTCGAGTAGCGAGATAACCAACTCAAAACATACCTTTATATGGTCGTTGAAGTCCATACTCTTGATATTCCCTTAAAGCATAATAAATAGCCTCAATTGTTGCTAAGCCATTTTGACCAACATTGCGTTGAGGTCTCCAAAACGCAGTGTGATACTTGGTAAGTGAAACATATGGAAGCCCTAAAACAGTATTCACTAGATAGTAAACCAAATTCTTTCACGGACAACTTGTGAATAATGCGAGTTCTTACCTTGGATTTGAGGAATTCTCAGCATAGTATTAACCTGATACCATGTACAGTCTAAAACGATGAACCTTTTTACAGGACCTTTTGTCTTTACGAATTCCTCGATTGAAACGGAAGATGGTGAAGCGAAAACAACTACCTAAACGCACCACCCGACATATATGGAGTCGAATACGTTTTAAAAATCGACAGCACTTACGTCACTTCCATCATGCTTTTGTTTATCTTCTTTGTTGTATCCAAACACATTAGGTACATCAAAAATCTGAAACACAATATGTGTAAACCAAATATCGCTTGCATGATGGTTGTTACGAACACGAGTTTGCTCCGGCGCTAGAATTTTGCAATGAATAGCGCTACTTTTGCCGTTCTTCTCCATTGGATGCTTAATCACGTCGACATCGCAAGGCAACTAAAACATAACTTATAACATTACATCACAGATATTTTTTATGGATTCTTTGATGTGGTGAACAAAAAGTTAAATGTAGATCAAGAGCAACAAGTGCTTACCTTAGACGTAGAAAACCCAGAAAACGGACACAACTTGTTGTACTGGATTAATTTATAGCCTCTGCATTCAGAACAATGCTTATGACTATCGGCATGGATGTGTGCGTGCGTAGGTGGATTGTACCTTGCAAACCACTCCGAATTCACCATTCTAACAAGTAAGTCCTACACGTTACTAGAAGTCTGAGGAGTACCTCATAGGTACCTTCTATCTACACTCACTTAAAAAAGCTTAACGCTCTCCAAGCGGATTCCACTAGGTCGCTATCGGCGCTCCGGAGTTGAATAGAGATCACACAACATCTCTTGAGTTACCCACCTGATTGTTGGGATTACATGTGGTGCAGAACGTACATATCCAAGGAATTCCATTTTTTTCGTGATCCAGCATGCAGCATATCGATGGAGAAAAAACACTGATAAAATGATGACATTATGAAGCTAAAGGACAATAGTACCGACTTAGATAGAACGCTTCTGTTCCACAAGATCCTTAGTCAACATAAAGCTTCTTTAAGAACTTTATCATAGTTTCTTATGGAACTCCTGCTCAAATAACCTTTGTTTTACAGTTCGAACTGTGATAAAAATCATTATAAAGCAAATGTTTAGTAAGCTACACCAACTTATGTGTTCTTGTTTCAACAAATCCCACTAAAATGTAATGGTTCTCTCAATGCTTATCAGAAAATGTGGAACACTTCGATGTTGAGAAATCTGAGCCAGTGATGCACGTCACCTGCCAACGGTTTATCGCCTCATCGTGGCTGGGAGGTGTTCCTGAGTGTTGAACTGCGATGCACAGCGAGGGATTCGTCTCCCGGCCGGATTTCCCAAGTTGAGGAGTCCGGTATTTCCATCAGGAAGTTTAGCTAAGAGTAAACCAATATCAGGATACACCACCGTCCTGGTATCAAAGTCGCATGGTGGCAAATCTCCCTTTGATTCACAAGGACTGCTGGCCGCCTGTGGTGGTGAGGACCTGGGCCAGCCTTTGGCCACGCCAAATCTCCCAAAAAATGGCATTTATGCTGGGGCTCGCACAACCATTGAGGATGGCCCATTCAAGTATCAAGCATCAAGTACGATGCATGTCAACTCTTCTTACCAGAAACGTACAAATTTGGTATTTCAAACATATATTCGTTTCGTAAAACTAAAGATTGGTAACAATTACATCCTACCTCACTAACTTTCCTGCTTACAATAACAAAGTGCAACAACATATCAGCTTTCGAATAGAGATTTCGGTCGTATCGCTATCACATTACAAATGGAATCGTGCAGCGCAGTGGTCGAAGGGGGCTCCATGTAATACACATGTGATCGATTGCCGCGCCGCCGGCCCACCAAATCTTCCGTCCATCCGGGGTCGGTAAATTGGTACCAGGCTCGTCTGGGAGGTCAGCTACATTGGCTCGATACATCAGTAGGCTACCGCGAGTCGCTGTAGAGGCCAGATATGCATTCAATCACCTCCAAACGATGCTTAATGAAGTCGAATGCAAGGCGCATCCCTAAGGGATTGGTCATCGCCAACAACTTTATTGATCCTTTTCTATCGCCATGACATAGAATTTCTAAGTAGCTAATGGAAACGCTCTATTACTGTTCTCCGTCCTACAGCCAAAACACGATGCAAAACCACACTGATTAAGCATTTCGAATTGTTTATTCCGTGATCTGAGACGCGATCAAGCGCATTAAAACTGATTTTGTTCAAAAACCAGAAAACATAACTGACTTCCCCAGGAGCGACAGCTACGAACTGCATGTGATTTCCGAAATGTACACGTCAACCTACTCCCAGAATGAACAGATCTCTTAACAGTGATAGATCTCATACACAGGTTGACAAAAGGAATCTTCGTACCAACAGTTATTTGATTATAGGCAGCAAATAATACGTATATATTAGACGTTCAACAAATATAAATAACGATATGGAGAAAAAATTGTATAGCTGACAAGCAGCAGCATGGAATTCCCTTCGAACTCTCAAAAAAGACGCCGATCAACAAAAAAGCTCAAGACACAGCAATCACATTGAGTAGGTCTTCCTAGATCTGTATAACGCAACTGAAACGCGGATTGACACTTCAACCATGTTGACGTTTAGCCATAACATTTGGCGACACAATTCACTAATTCGTAAGACTCTTTCGTATTTAGTGGAAGGATCACTAAGCGATACACAGATGGTATGGCCAGGATCCGTCTACAAGGACCCTGCATGCAGATAATAAGAAGAAACGGAGTCAAGTAAACAACACAACAAGTTGGCCCATTTACCCATAACTAACAAATTATTTCAAATGGACAGAAACTAGCTCCAACAACCAATCAGCGAATTCCTCAAAATTTAGCACACTCTCACTGTTCACTTGTCTCACTACAATCAAGACTAATGAAGATACCTTAACACGAGGCGACGGAACTCCTGGCAAAACAATACGGCAATCATAGCAGAAATACATCCGGTGTCTACCACAGGTTAAGCACCTCTGTTTAACCAAACCGCCCAGTGGTGAATACGAAGATAGGTTACATTCGTTCCTTGTCATAACAGACATCTAAAAACAAAGACTTTATTCATCTTAAACTGCTGTATATCAGATTGCTAGGACGCACAATTTATCAACAAAGAACACAGCAGTAAGGGATATTCAGTCAGTATACGACGCTCTGCCGCACCGTCTATTAGCTTACTAAACCTAGCATTCCTTCACAACTCTTTATGTAGTCCAAAACAATATTTCATAAATATACGATATATATCTGTTAGTATAAGAGGAATTACGCAATTCAAGGCAAACATTCTCATAATAGAACGACAATTTCTGAATAAGAGGCAGAAATTGAGTAATAATGATCAAACTATAAGAAAAGAAATTTTCGAACACAGTCTACAAAACCGGATAGAAAATGAAATTTTAAAGTGCGGTTAATACATACGTAGTAGTAGCACTTAAAAGTTTACGAACGTTATATGATCACGAAAAAATGTAGATATTTACTGACTATTACATAAACCACAGAAGAAACAGAACACATAATACAGACCAGTGAGCACAAACCATTCTTTCTTTCACATCCTCTTCCATAATCAGGGAAAGAAAAGTTTTTAATGGATAAAAATCTAACTAGTCGAACAAACAGAAGTGTCAAATTAAAGCTCTGCAGGAAGTAAATGAAACTTGGAAAGTAGTAAGACTTTCAACCTTCGCTAAATTCCACTCCATTTCACAACAGAATCAGGACACTTGTTTGCCGACTGTTCCATTCCAGCTGATCCATTCAACGTTTAGACAGTTATTTTGACTAACCGTGGGTTAGAGTTTTGCTGTGCTTAAGGGTTCATAAACTTTTAAGAGCTACTATACAAGAGTAATACAGTGTGATAACTGAATAATGACAACAATATAAATGGCTAGAAAGAAAAGTGTGCTTCTTGGTCTCAAAAGGCAAATAAATCCTTTGGAAGGAAAATTCGGAAAACCAATAGCATACTAGAAGAATACTCCGAAAACAGAGAGTACAAAGAAGACTTACTTTAACAGTGTTGAACACGTCCCAGTAATCACCAATAAGAAAATGATCTCCTATGACTTTGCTTGAGAAGCTTCTATGATCAGCTTTAAATTTTGCAGATGAAGGATATGTATAGGCCATAGACATGAGATAAAATACATCACAAAGAAGATAACATTGTTAGATTAGGGGAAGAAAGATGCAGAAAACACGTTATATTATGGGAGCCGAAAGTTGAGTATATAAATCATGTTCCAGCTAATCGTCAAGTGATGACACTATTTCCTCCTTCTCCTCTCCGATGAGAACAAGGACTGAAGAATACCGCGACGATGCTTTGATTGCGCCACTGCACCGACTCCGGGCTCATACGACTGTGTCGCCAGTGTTGAGATGCTCCTACCACTACCAGAACGTAGGAAACGGGGCGCTGGAGCAGAACGGGCAGATCCAGCCGGTCTGAGAAATTATTTAAAATAACAGCGTCAGATATTTTTAAGGGCATCACGTGTTCTGGTAAATCAAACATACTCATAAGGTCTGTCAATTGGTTGATCAGCAGCTACCATTTGTTTCATATTGTCCAATAAAGTACGAATCTTGAAGGGATCCACTTCTTCACGAGAATCGTAATGAGTGAGCACCGATGAAGTTGAGGGATGTGGATCACTGTCACCTGCATATGATTGCCCTAATGGTCCAGACTCTTCACCCAAAAGTAGCGCTTGTTCAAAATCTTCTAAAAACAAATTTTACATTTAAAAAAAGCATGGAGTAAATTGACCAGATGAATCCAGACACTGGTATAATGAGAAACAAAAGGATGCACATAGACTATCCACTTCTGAAAGTGACGGTCATTCGAATGGTGTCACAGTGGCGTTCTACGATATTCTGGGTTTCTTCTCAAATATCATCAAAGTAAAATATCAGCTAGTTATAATAAGTTCGCAATCAAATCAAATTCACAATATAAACCGAAAATCTCTTCTAAGACGACCGTAATAAAAAACTGAATTACCGGTTGGAGGATATGCGACGACAAGGCGAATTCTGTCCGAGCGTTTGCGGGGCACGCTTACTGCGGATAGTTCGTCAACGTGTGGTCTAAGGAAGTGGCAGGAAGAGGATATTGAAAAGCATTGGAAAAATAATGTCTGTATTCAAAGAATTCGACCTACTTGTTATGTTCAGCAGAGGACGTAGACGGTGTGGCACATGCGCACGTGTGGAACCCCTCACAACCTGCGGGATGATTCATATAAATTTTAGGAGCTCTAGGAAAACTATAATGTAGGAGAAAAGCTATACCATAAGCACTGCTAACCTTGTTCGTGTTGGAAGGCTAGCGCACGTGCTCCAAGACTCTCGCTAAGGCTTTTCGAGTCAAGCACTGAGCCGGCTAGTGCCTAGACAATAATTCACAAAATAAGTACAAGGATGATTTCTTAGTAGCGTGAATATTATAGTACTGACAGGTTAATATGTCTCACCTTTGTACTCGCAACCTCATCACTATATGACACTATTTCGTGCCCTGAATAAAGAGTGTGGACGCTCTGAAAAAGAACAAACAGTGCTGCAAACAGGAAATTGTAGTTCACTTCAGATACAACCGACAAAACTGATTAAAAGAAACCTTATCATCGCAGTGATAATGTGATCCAGCCATGGCTCTAGTGCTCGCCTCCTCATAGTTAAAACGATCGCCCAAGCTATTAACACCTCAAAAATATAGGCATATTAACATCACCTGGTGCTAAATTTAGCCTGACGTGAACTAACACCTACCAGATTCAACACTCGGACGTCTACGAATATCATGGTTAACCGCAAGACGTACATGATGCTGTGTTCCGCCAGATATTCCACTTTGCATGGACAGACCAGCCACCAGTGATGAACCATCAGGCTGTTTATCAATCTCACCCAAAAGATGAGACCTGTCCTGACCTAAAACGATGCCTCTCTTTTAGTGCCTTGAAGGCAACTCCTACATTCACTAACAACGAAGAATACCCATTATTGCTTCCTCTGTTGAATAACACCCCGCTAAAATGAGGGAATAGTTTCCACATTTTAAGTCCAACATTTCATTCTGTGTGACCGCCGTATCTAACTGACGTGTAATTTCTTGCCCCGCTAACTGTGAAGTGAATTCATCACATCTCCATCGATCTACCACTCGTCTCACCCAACAAACGACCTCACTTCATTTGTTGAATTTCTGATGTATAATTCAGTTTTTATATGTTTTTGCGCGCATTTTATTACCAATTTGTGTTCTCCTTAAACTGTTTATCATTGTACAGCCAGAAACGCGGTGAAAGTGATACAGTTCGTCAGTTGCACAGTGGCGGCTCGAACCCGTACCGGGATTACCATGCCATGCCACTCATCCATTTGGTGGTGGGAAATTAATACCATGAGGACCACTCTCGCATTGTTATCCAGGAGCCGCGGGCCCACCACACGAGCAAGAAGTTCAGAGAGGTTCGTAAATCACAGATGCGATGGAATGAATCGAACAGAACTTCCGGGAAACGCAAAGTATATGTGAGGACGATTTGATAAAATAAAATGAATAATATGTATCACCGTCTGTCTCCCAACGCTTTACCGCCTCATCGTGGTTGGAGGTGTTCCTGGGTGCTCGGCAGCACGGGAGAATCATCCTCCAGCAAAGAGTGCTAAGCCAAGGAATCCGGCGCTTCCACCAGGAAGCCCAACTAAGAGTAAACCAATAGCAGGATCCACCACCGTTCTGGTATGAAACTAGCCGCATGGTGGCAAATCTCCCTCTGATCCAAAAGAGCGGCGACTGGCTATCGTGGTGACGATCTGCGGTAGACTTTAGCCAGGCTGACCTCGGGACTCCAGGGAAATGCAATGGATAAACAAGCAAAACTTCGAAAAAATGGAAATTATGCTTGGGCCAGCACAACCAGTGAAGATGGGCCAACGAAGCATCCACGTAAGTAAGTATCACCGCATGATCTAATTTCTATGTATTGTCCCGTGCTTGTGGAACATTTCAAACTCTTGTGGATGGAAAAAAGGAGCTTACCCACCATAAGTACTTCCAAGATCTGCTCATTGTGGTAATCTTGATTCATCATAGCGATTGGAAATGAAACAACACCTAATTATTGGTCGAATTCGATAACCCCGAGTAATTGTTCTACAATTAGAGAGGATGAAGAGTTGTGAACTGTGTCTTGATAAACTTATAGAAGACGTTTTGGTCTACCACTCGAGGTATCTGTAACTTTCCTTAGATATTTTTTAAACTCACTGCCTTACTTCAAATTCAAATTTTCAAACAATCTTAGGATGAATTCAAAATACTAAAGATTAAAAGGGAAGTAGAACACAGGATAAGGGTGCCAGTGACGGCACGAGAGGTTAGTAATCACGGTGTGCAGTGCTGATAACCCCCGAAATCTCAAAAACAGCTAATTTGCGGTGAATTACCAGTTCCTTCGAGACGCAGTGAACCAAATCGGATTTATTATTTATTCATGAGCAATATTCTGGTTGTTACTACCAAGTCAAACATTATCTGCTCACTTTTCCATATACAAATTACACATCCTTGTCAAAAGAAGCTTAATGTCATTAGATGTTACTTACCAACATCGATAGCTTTACTTGTTTTTACTATTTTTACGTGAGCCGATACCACAAATATTATGCGGATCCCAGCACTTATTGCAATGGATTCGTATCCTCACATTCACATACTTCGAAGGCCTTCGAGTTCTGCGTGCGGATTCGGCCACATCTTAAAGCTTTTTGATCCTCTTGACAAATGTCTTTATTTCAGCTCAATCTGTTTAAAGCGAATCAGATCACCACTTTTTTGTGCGAAAATTCGCTTTGACAGCAAAATGGAGAGGAAATCCTGTCATTGTGCTGCGAAGGAAAGACTAAATGGATTCCGAAAAAGTGTAAAGATCACCAACATACTGTTGCTACAAAAAAAAAACTAAATCTCTTGAAGTTGATCAAACCCTAAGGGATGACCCATGCAATTGAATTATTCAAGCATCGCTGGAGGCGAATGAATGCATGACCGGCTTTTACAATGACTCGCGGTGGCCTAACGATGTATCGAGCCAGTGCTGCTATCCTCCCAGACAAGTATGGTGCCAATTTGTCGAACCCTGAGGAGTGGAAGGCTTGCTGAGCCTGGGGCGCATGGATGGATCACATATATAATGCAAGAGGCCTCTGACCACTGCACTACACGCACGTGTTGCTATCGAACGAATGGTTATCAACGTCATTTGAAGAGAACTGGTAAGCGAGAATCTAGGTCGATATCGACAGAGGTGGATATTGAGCAAATACAAAAAAAGAAAAAAACATTACCTGACAGCTGTACCAACTTCAGCCCGTTGATCGTCGAGCGACTCGAGCGAGTGCCAGTAAATGTTCCATTTTTCCTGTCACAGATATCAACCCGTTCTTCATGGACATCGTTTTTGTAAAATTTAATCGAAGACCAATCTTTCCACAGGCTTTATCAAAGTCATCAAGCATACGTTCAGCCTGGCTAATGTTTGATGTTATAAGGACGATGAAATCAGCAAAGCTGAGATGGTGTAATCGCCGATCATCGATATTCACTCCCATGTTGTCCTATTCCAATGTTCGCATGACACCTGACGTTCTTGAGTGTGGCGGTGAATAAATTCGGCGAGATGGTATCGCCATGCCTGATCCCTTTTTGACGTCGATGTAACATCGTTGTAGAATGGTGATATTTGGTTGTCAAATTTTTGTACAGCCCATGAAGAATTTTTATGGATTGAGTAGGGACTGCCTGACTATCAAGGGCTTCCATTACTGCTTCTATCTCTATTGAGTCAAAGGTCTTCTTTAAATCGATGAAAGTGACACAGAGCGGTCTTTCGTACTCTCGCGATACTTCAATGAGCCTTGTTATAGGGCGGATGTGGTCCATCGTACTAAATGCTCTTCGAAGCCCTGCTTCCTTTCATGGCTGTCCTTCGTTCAGTGTTTGGCAATGCTGTTTAGGATGACTCGAGTGACGAGTTTGTAGACGACAGATAGCAAGCAGATTAGGTAATACTTGCCGATATCGTGTAAATCACGTTTCTTGAACAGTGACACCGTCTTGCTGGTTTTCACCGAATGGGGACCTTTCATTCAGACAGATAACGTGTGGACAGCCGAGCCAGTATGTTTATGAGGACTGGCGGAAGACTTCAGATCTTATCCTGTCCGAACCTGGAGCTGTTCGATTTTTCACCGACAAAATTGCACATTGGATTTCGGAAGGGAGAACCGGTGTTTCAATTTTTTGTTCTAGTATGGAATTGTCATGGAAGCGCTTTGCCTTTACAAAGAGCGTCTGCTTTCACGGTAATGCATCTCCAAGAACCTTGAAATGAACGCACACAAAAATAGGAAGGAAAGCAAAACCGATAACCGGAGCTTTAGTAGGTGTGGCTTGATCGTCGATCATTTCCGAACCAAACGACCATCCGATCAACGTTCACGGTTGAACAATAGAAGTGATTCTTATTCAAATGGAATACTCGCATATCAACCTTTCCAAAAATACCAGGATGAAGTTTATTACGACTGACTAATTTTGTGGTGGTGCTGACCGTCTTGCCTTATCGCGTCTTCTGGGATGCTTTCGGGATTTCCCAATATGTCCGTGCCCATGAGATGCATGACCCACAAGAATTCGAGCGTTTCCTTTGGCTTGGGCCATACCTCAAGCTTGGGTAATTAAAGATGGATTATATTCGGATAGATTCGAAGTCGCCCTGCAATACACATGGGATCGATCCTCGCAACTCAGACTCACCAATTTTTCCATTTTTCCAAGCTCGGACATTTAGTCTCAGAATTATCCGGGAGGATAACAGCCCCGGCTCGATACATTGGTAGGCCACAGCGTGGCGTCTCATTGTATAGACTAAATACCCATTCATTCATCTCTAACAATGTTTACTCAAGCCGGATGCATGATGCATCTCTCAGAGACTGATCAACACCAAGAGTTTTATTCTTTTTTTCTAAGAGCGCGTGTGGCGCAGCGGTCGGAGGAGCCCTGCAACACACACGTGGAATTGATCCCCGCGCACATGGCCCACCAAATCTTCCATCTCTCTGAGGTTGGTAAATTGGTGCCAGACTTTTCTGGGATAATAGCAACACTGGCTCGATACATCGGTAGGCCACCGCGAGTCACTTTATAGGTCAGATGTGCATTCATTTTCCTCCAAACGATGCTTAATGATGTCGAATGCATGGCACATCCCTCAGGGATTGATTAACGCCAATAGTTTAATCCTTTTATTTATCCTTTTTTAAGCATGGGATTACTTACAAAGATTCCATAAAAGCTTCGTTCGAATCACTTTCAAACAGTTATGCTAAATTCTACCAACTTTGGTAGAGCAACACTACTAATGCTCCATTCCCAAGTTCGAGCTGGATTTATAAACCTGGACACCTCTTGGACAATACCTTGATTAATACTTCACAAGTTCACGAACGGAACCGCTATATCTCACGATCTTTCTGCAAAATACGTAGCGTCGCATTTGTAAGTGCAACGGATACCTACCCGACAACCTCCAAACATTCACGAGAGTCGTAGAGGTCCCCAGAGGACATCACCTACCTTTATCTTGACAGTGCTGGAAACCAATGCTACTTTCTCCGGCTTAGATGACGAACGGATTACCTCTCCTATATGGAAAAGCTTGCTGACTGAAGTAGCCACTGTATATCGATAACACAACTTTCTCATTGATAAATCAGTATTTTGACTAGTAAAAGGATACGGCAAGGTGATAGGATTTTATCAAAGTTGTTCACGACGTGTAAAAGCAATGTATAGACTCATTCAATTGAAATTAAAAAGGAATTCATGAAAAACCACTGTCGTAAAGGGCACATTATTACGAATAGATCACCAATTGAAAGCTATATTACTTATATTACTGGGACGTACGGCTGACAAAAAGAATTCGACAGAAAACAATGAGCAGCGTACTCTCCCTTCGCATTCCGGCAATGTATTCAACATAAAACAAAAAGATTAGGATGCGTGCTGCCTGCAGAAATGGAGATGCGACCCAATTGATTATGAAGAATCACTTGGACTTTTTTGGCTGCACAGTTATGTATAGCTTAAGTATACATAGCAACTCTTTGCAGTTACTAATTAAAACTTGTTTAGTGAACGAATGGAAGTTCTTTTGTGAGAATGTGCAATAAATATTAATAATAAAGTCCAGGGATCAAGTCTATTTATTATGGAGGACAGGGTGTCTACAGAACTTATCCACAGTTAACAACGTTTCGGAAAGAAAAAAAACTCCAAAAATATGAACACACTATGTTATACCTTTTTATTTTCTGCCTACTATAATTTCGCGGCAGGGTACTAAGCGAAATACAACCACAACGTTGCTGAGATATTTGCAAAACTCTGGACTGCAGGTGTCTATCGTGGGGAACGAACGCGCTATTGTCCTTTCCGGGGAGTAACGCGTTCACCACCACACCATGCGGGTCCTTTGTTTCGCCTGTCTCTCAGCTGTTTCTATCGATCTTTGCCACAGCAATCACCCGTCAGCGAACACACTATGTCAGTCCTCACAGAAGTTTGACACCAAATGAGGACTCTTCACTGGTATGCGTTCCAAACAGTTAACATTGTATGCGTCCAATGCTACAAATGTTTCACTATTGAATTTCTCATTAATAAATGATAAAATGGACGAAACGTTGGAACCTAAGGGATGCGTCGTCCTACCTCATCAATCATTGGTTTGAAGTGTTTTAACGCACATCTGGTCTATATATTGACGTGCAGTGGTCCAATGACTTTTGAAGTCAGGCATGCTATCTTCCAAGAAAAGTCTGGCACCAATTCGAAGAAAACCTCGGAGGGTGTTAGTGAACCCAGGGTGCGAGACGGAACCAACGACTCCTCTAAGTAGTGCGTTACACGCGTCACTTTTTCGTTTACAGAGACAAGAATTTATATCCACAACTTATGGATAGAACCTGTCACCAAGTATCGAGTCTCAATGCACTGATAGAACATGCTAACACCCCTCTTAACAGTAACAAACCTACATCTAGGGTTTCTCAGATCAGGCAAACTAATCCGTCCCGAAAATGGTCTTTCGTTTCGTTGTGTTTTTTGTGGTTTTATGGCGAATGTGGCGCAGTGGTCGAAGGCACCTTGCAACCTACACGTGGAATCGGTCCACGCGCCCATGACCCTCCAAGCCTTCCATCCCTCTGGAGTCGACAAATTGGTACCAGACTTATCTGGAAAGATAACAGCACTGGCTCGATACATCGGTAGGCCACCACGAGTTATTGTAAAGACCAGATATGCATTTAGTCACCTCCAAACAATGCTTAATGAAGTCAAATACATGGCGCATTCCTAAGCGATTGATCAACGCCAAGAGCGTTATCTCTTTTATCCTTTAAGAAATAGCTTTAACTGACCGATACCCGGCACAATAGGTTGTCTTGGACAATACTTTGTTCTTTTCTTCTTAACCACTTCTATACGTTAGTAGACCGTTCCTTAAATAGGTTTACCGATGTTCCTCTCAGAATAGCGACTATTAACATTGACCGTTGCGCAGTGGGGATTCGCGTATGTTAACGGATGCATATCTAAGTAGGTAATTCACGTCGCATGGAAATTGACAATAAAACATAAATGTACAATAGGATGTACCGGCAATGGTTGTGCAGTAAAGAACGACTCGTTGAAACCAAATTGAAAAAATTGGTAGCATGGAAAGTTCTGGAAGGAAAAAAACGCTTTAATCTTATAAAGCAGCTCTTATTAGGGTTAGAAACATGATGAAGGACCGGAAAAACTAGTCAATATCTCAAGCCACTACTATGCATCGATGTCATCAACATTAACGATAACCTGATTAACGTTCAACTTTGACTCTTCAAAAAGCTCAAACGGTAGCAAGAATAATTTGATTTGAAGTGAAAAAAGTTCTGGAGTGATCAAAACAATTTTCTTTCACGTCACACAAGACGTAGCACTATCTGTATAGTAGAAATCAATTGTTTAAGTTGATGAAAAATGATGGAAATACTAGGTGCATTTTCCATGTGGTGGAAGAAATTCGTAATCGTTACCTTCGAAGAAAGTAGAGCTCAGTACTAATAAATAAACATATCAAAAACCTTTGAGAACGGTCCTCAACCAATATGAAAACCACCACGGGTTTATTTCTGCTTAAAAGCAATATTAAATGGGTTTTTCTTTGGGTAAATTGCCTATAACATGTAAACGCTTTCACAGACATATGAAAAAATCACGCTGTCTATAAAGCAAGTTGATGCCAGATACACAATATTCCAGTCGACATATTGAAGGCAAACAAAGTAACGAGGAACTTACTTGAAGTTCCTGCCCACAGATCTTCTTCATCAAATACCCCTGGTCTCCCGTTTACTTCAGAAAATCCACAGCCGCCGTTACGACAGAGTGAGAGAGGAACTACGCCGTATACGTATGCAAGCATGATTGGAACTCCAACACCTGAAAATGTATTGGTACCTACACAAGATGTAACATACAGCTAAGCGTGAGCGTATTAGTTCAAACAAAAATTGCGAAAGGAGGCAAGAATACATGGAAGGAAATGAAATAGAAAATGATCCTAGGAAGAACTCACCAACAGCCATTACAGCAAGTACTGGACTGACAAACAGTGATCCTGCCACACAAGCAGCTGTTAAAAAACGACGACGAGTTTTTGAGTGATGCAGAAAGCGCTGATGAACCTTTCTAAAAAGCAAACAACAATGAAAAACAGCATTTCTAGAAGACAGCACGCATTTTGTTGTAGTAGTTTTAAACAAAGCGAGAATTCAAAACGACCATATGACATTACTGAAACTGCCTTCATTAAGCATTCAATGTAAACTTTCTTCGAAATCATATATAGCACCAAATAAAGGAAAAAACTTAAAATAAGTGGAAAACCCCTGCTACGCATTCAGTAAAGTGTAACAATCAAAATATAAAGTCGAAGCAGGTGTAGGATACCTTCCAACAAATACAGGAACACCAAAAATGATACCAGGTATAGATAATCCAGCAATTAAAGCAATACCAACAGGAGCTCCTATCAAAGTGCCTGAAAATAAAGCTATTATTGCTAAATATGAATACTTGCTATCGCATAAATAGTCTAAAATGATTTCAATAGGTTAAAAAAACTACCCTACAAAAACCACGAACCTAGTTGCCACAGTAATTTTTTCTTGCGTGTCCATGGTTTCTTTCCCCAAAACGTACAGCCAGTTGGACTAAATCACTAACATGAGAGAGATAACAGCAACCAAATATCAGTGACACAAATTATTCTACCAAATTTTGGATAACATACTGGCTGTCTAACAGAGTAAAAAATAATTCTGACAAAACGAATTGCTAGCCGTCATAAAAGAACTTACTAAAAAGTTTATTTCACTATACCTTCAAAGAAAAAAAATTGTGGACCTAATCCACAGATAATATCCAAGAACAAAATTTGAAAATCATAAATTAGTAAACAAAAAGGTATGTATCGCACCTCAGATAGTGAAGATCGCTGATTTCTTTCAAGCACAACCAGCAAAATTCAACTGAACACATGGCACAAACCATATGATTACACGAACCATCATCCATTTTTACAATGTAAGTGTGACAACGAGGACATGCTTTTATGTCTCCAGCTGAAATCACACAAATAACCTTTTGTCGCCTATTAGTAGCAAAACAAAACTTATATCATCGGAAAAAGCTAACGTTTTAGTTGAATGTCGATAGAAGCACTGGTGATACGCCGAGTAGCTCTAAATGATGGGGCCCCACGTTGACGTCGCGCTTCATCACACGTCTGACTTGCATGCCATACGCCCTGCAAAGCGTGATAACAAAATAGTAGGTAAATTTGTCAACATTAAGATATCACTGGTTCTTATGAAAAATGTTCAATAATTCTTCTTAACTTAAAACTGACGAGATAGCTTAACACAAATGAAAATTTCGATCAAAAAAACACAGGCGCAGAAAAACACTGGAAAGGCATCCCTAAAACAGATCACCAATATGTGGTCATAAAACTTTCTTAACGAAAATGAGAAGTACAGTATGTTACAGAGGACGCAAATATAGAAAAACGAAGTTTTTGAGGTTAACCATATGACATACGGTCAGTTCGATGGCAATAATTTCAGGAAAGAAGACAAACATATAAATGAAAGCGGAACACAGAAAGCAAGTATTGTTGTGTCCCTAAAATCAATATATGTAGTAGAGCCAAATTCAGTACAACAGTCAGAAAACTCTCTGAAGCATTGAATAGCTGAAAGAATGAATTTAAGTACTTACTTTGCAATGATAACAAAATAGAGTTCCGCAAGACTCGCGTTCACATTTGAGTTGAGGACATGCAGCGCAAGAAGAAGCAATGACAGCATATCTAGACGAAACGTAGACGAAAAGTAAGGAAGAAAACGAAAGTGAAGCAAATTCCGAAATATTAAACCTGAAAAAATTACAACGGTTTGATCTAAATCTGAAACATACCCACAGTCGGGGGCTGGACACCAGCGAGCATCGGTCTCGGTCATAAGGTATCGGCGAAGACTGAACTGCTCATACTTCTCGATTAACGCCGTTCGGCCACCAACTAGATTTCTAAAACGAATTAAGGTTCATATAAGAACACGCTAAGCAGATTGTAATTTCTGCTCAGAAAGATATGATAAACGAGAAGTCCACCGTATATCTGAGGGATGCAAATGGGCTGCACACTCTGGACACGAAACTTCAACACGATTTTCCATAATTTCCATTTCAACATACTAAAATAACAATAAACTTAAACAGTGCTGTTAGTGAAAACGGGTAGGGAGAATACAACAAGCTAGAGTGGCAAGAAGACGTTACCGTTATACTGGTATTTTCATTTCCTATTTCATGCAAACCTTTCCTCATAAAAAAACACGATTAACTCTCATGTTATGCAAAAACTCAAAAAGCGTGGAATATACAGTTAGAAGAATAAAAAAAAACCGCTGCTGTATCAATTCTGTATCAAAAGGGAGTAGGCGGAGAATTTAATGTGAAGAAACCACTACTAGCACATAAAGATCGATATCGTTTCATTTTAAATAACTGCTTCTAATTTCTCGACAACTAGTACTTAAGAAATTGAAGATAAGACACACTTTCATAAGATGTTTCGTTCCATCGCTTTAAAGGTATAGACAATTTTCGACAGCGTTACTTTAAGGTTAACTTTTCTATTTACTGCCTCCACAAACTTTCACGACAGGATACCCTATGTGAAATGCAGTCACAATGAAGTTGACACATTTGCAAACCTCCGAACTGTCGGACACCGACACCTGCGGTCCGGAGTTTCGCAAACATCTCACTGTTATTTTAGTCGAATTTTCTTGAAATTAAAGTCTTCAAAAATTGAGAACGAAAGTCAGTGAAATGTGACAGCTGTTTTCAGCCACGCATGAGTTTAAACCAATTTTTACAGAGATTATCTCCCGGAAGGAGTGATAGCGTGTTCGATCCCGACCGCAAACACGTGCAGTCCGGAGTTTTATGGATATCACAGCATCATTGTGGATGCATTTCACATAGTACCTTGTCGTGAAAATTTGTAGTACGCAGTAAATAAAAAAAGTTGTATTAAGATTTGCAAAGCTGTAACCACGAACTTGCATGAGGCACAATCGACAACTCCTATGCTGGCAGCAGATAAGTCGAGGAAAGTTGCTCTGTGGTTGACGCATACAGCACAGAGGACACTCACGAATCCTAGAGCCGCGTGATTGTTTCTAAATTTCCTTCTGAACCTATCAGACAATTTGAAATGATTTACACCTCATATATATATATATATATATATACAATGATATACGCAAAATTACGATTTACAGGGAGAGTCATCTATCGGTAGTGCCAAGCTGCGCAAGAATTCGATGCTTCCAACCGGAAGCCCGGCTTATAATAAACCTACATCAGGAATGTGTACCGCCTTGGAATAAATTCAATAACAAAATTGTAAACATTCATCCATACGACAAGAGTAGGGCCTATGGTTATGACTCGAGGATGCTCTGGCAGGAGCACAGAGAGACTGGATTTTAGAAAACTGGAAAAATTTCAAAGGTAATGTGTACTGGATACTGCATAACTGGTGAAGACGGGTTGCTAAAGTTCCATGTATGAAACTTGAGATAAATTTTAGCCAAATCCTACTTTCTTTCCCATAAGCTCCAGACACTCGTCTTCTCCCTCGTAGCCATCAGCCAATAGAAGATATGAGCATTGATCACCACTGCCGTCATTTTGACAAAGATCGATGTCGCTTCCTCTGTTCCTGCAATAAAAAGTATAAAAGACAATGAATTAAAAACATTACCCCACTCCTTGAGTAAGCGCACCTCAATGATTTTACAAGCTTACTGCACAAAAATTTAGACCACAATGAAGAAAAAGTAAAACCACGTTGTTCCAACACATAACACAGAACAGCAAAAGCTGTTAAATTAACTTATGAATTGCCTGCAAACAATTTTCTCATTCGTTAATCGTGATGTAATCCACAGTCAAAAGATTTTAAAGAAAATCAAAAGAAAAAAAACGAAAAAGTAGACCACATAAGAACCCCAAACTAAACTAAACATTAACATCCAAAACAGAGTGATCGTATCAATAGTTAACTAGCTCTCCAAAGTTACACGCAGTACCAAGTACCGGAAAAAGTTTGGGGATACTTAAAAGTAAAATCACAGTTTTGAGCATTGACTCCATCCTTAGCGTATGACTTATGAACTTGATCAATCATTCGACTTCATCGAGCATCATTGAAGATGATTGAATACAGCATATCTGTCATATACAAAGACTGGAAGTGGCCCTTGGACTGCTTGATGGCAAAAGATATATGGCAGCAATTTAGTAGAAATTCCTCATTCGTTACGATGAGATAAACAAAGGGATTCTTTTTTTACGGTGAAGGAAGTAGACTGACCTATTTTACGATGGAGTTTCCATTTTCCATAGTTAAATTCATACAGTATTCATTTGCGGAGTATTCCTGCGTTTCTTGACTCCACAAAGGTGTTCCGAAACTGTTTTTTCACTTACACCTTATTCCTACACATGGTCTCAAACCACTGTGAATACATCTCGCGTTACTTCTTTAAATAGACCTCAGCGACATAAGTAGATCATTTCCAACTTTATTTTCATATGCAATATTTCCAAAGATGTAATATCCAAAGCGAATTATTGGAATAATGGCTGGAACAGCAACAATTGTAATTAAGAAGATTATAATAATTGGAACAAGGACGACGTAGGATTGCCAATAATTGCCAATAATTTTTCGACAACTGGAAAATGGATTTATTCAGGTGGAAAGAACAGACTTGTTGAAGACGATATGCTTTTTTGCACTAAGGATATATATATGCATATATATATGTATATGTATATAAATGTATACACATACATATATATACCAACGTGATGCCCAGAGGGATGGAAACAGCCGTGGTTAGAGATGTTATGGAACACAATAACTATTCTCTGGATAATTATTAGTTGTCTGTTCAGGCATTAGTTTTTGAATGACAAATTCCAAACCAGCTATCGCATGAATCATAGCCAGCAAGCGCAGATGTTCACATCGAATTGCGGCCAGCTGGAGAATCCTGTGCTGATTCGGTATGCAAAAACATCAACTAGAAGCCCAGCTCCACAACTGCCCAAACTACCGACTCTCAGGAATCGGCAGCGGTTGAGAAAACCAAAATCTTCTTTGACCCTATCACATTCCTTCGCAGCACCTTCGTTTGTATTGTACATTGTCATTGTAAGCCTTTTCTTTTGTGCCTCACCGAACTCGGTTTATCATAGCCATGCATCTCTTAGCTAGATACCACATCATCAACATGTAACTATATCTCATCGTAATGAAACACGACTTACATCGTATTACTCTCTTATGCTTTGTAAAATCTTTCAACTCATCAGCCATTTAGCCCAATTATGTTAGAGCATCCTCTCTTAAGCTTCGCGAAGTCCTAATAACTTCTCTTAGCCACTCTTTTCACTATAACCCTGCGTGGAATTACGAAACGATGAGAATTTAGATCAACTGACTAACCGATACATAGACTACCACCCATGGATACTAGTTTTATAGTTACCGAAGCAACCAAAACTTAATCTTTGTGGGATTCACAAAATGGTACTTTCAGTGTAAGTTGTTCTTCACATTGACTTCCCGACAGAGAAAGAGACAGAGATAGCCCGAACATTCAGAGATATTCATTTTGCTGAACGCGAATAACGCGTACAAAACAACTCCTTCTTCATCAACACCGTTTCTGTGAAACTTAGTTGAAAAGCAATGTTTTCACAAACTTTATCAAAGTCGGCTAGTGTACGTTCTGCCTGGCTACTGACTGGTCTTGTAAGAACAATGTCACCAACAAAGAAGAAATTGTAATTGCCGACGACCGGATTTCACTGCCATTCTAATGTCCACATGAATGCTGAGCAGCGACGCCTCCACTGTCAGAATTTTCATGACTGATTACGTCTCAACTAACTCAAAAGTTTTCTTTAAATTGATCAAAATAAGACAGAACGGTCATTTGTACTCTAGCTACACTTCAATGTGCACTATTAACGTATGGATGCGGCTCATCGTACTGAACCTTCGTCCAGTGTTCTGTCAATCCTGTTTAGGACGACCCAAGCGAAGAGCTTATAGACGACAGACAGGAACCAGATTGGGCAATAGTTGCCAAAATCGCAGGATTCACCCTTTGTGAACAACGAGGCGGCCGTGCCTGTCTTCTATTGAATAAGTACCTTGCGTGCTGACCATTAACGTGTGAGATGCAGGGCCAGTGCGTTTGTGAGGATGAGGGAACGTTTTTCAAGTGTTTAGATTTTATCCTGTACGACTTAGGTGTTATTCGATTCTCCACCGACGAAATAGCATGTCTGATTTCGGAATTGCCTTTCAGCTGTAACTGTTACGCTTGGAAGCTGGAGTGCAATAATCCTGGTTTTGTAACTGGCGAAGTTCGCATGGGCTTTGCGAATGCCGCTCTCAGCATCTGTTCCTTCAAAGACAACTGACGCTCTTCTATCTTTAATATCTTCCTTTAGCACCTGTCTGTACTGTTCTACAAGTTCGAACGTGTGGTATAGTGGCTTGTAGCCCTTACTCCTACGACATTTATGCAGAAACATGCTTATGTCAGCTTGAAATTCATGAGATAAACAGCGCTGCAGAATCATGCAGCCCATTCCCTGGATCCATCTGCTTCCCGGCAGTGCATACGATAGCTTTTGGCATGTGTTTAACCCCCTATCCGCCATCTGGAAACGCGCACTCACTACGCTGCCTCGCGACCAATCGGTAGGACACCCCCCCCCCCCCTGTGGAAGATGTCTACGTTTGACGAAGCGGAATGGTAGATATTAACTCCAAAGAACCACGTTTGGTCGGACAAATTATGGGGCATCCGATGAATCTTCACTTTATGTAAGATATGGGCTTAAGTTATGACATAAATAAAGGTTATTGTCTTCTTCAAGTTGTGTGCACTTCAATTCGAGAATGGCTTGCAGCAAATCTTTGCGCTCTTGTCGCTGTTATCGAGGGGCTTAAAAAGCCACTGTCGGAACGTAATGATGTCCGGTATGTGACGCAGTGCTTCAGAATGGCTCGAATTTTTCACCAAACATTTCAATCCTACTTCGCTTTTCTCGAAAATCCCGTGCTTTTTCTTATAAAAACCCAGCACAT